TTAAGTCTTAGCCATGTAGGTACTGCTTGCTTCTGAACTTGCTCTTGCCTCCATATAATAGCCTAGGACCCATGAATACTCTGCCTTCTGGAATGCCGTACCTAGAGTCAGGTTCTCTTCTTGGTCCTCCATGGATCTGTGACCTGGGAAAGAGGAGTAAGTTCCAGAAATGCTTATTTGACACAGATTCCTGCACCTTATACAAGTTTAGGCCCCTCTCCTGGATCTGAGACGTCAACTTCTCCTAGTGTACAGTATCTCCCTGAGTTATGATGCTATGTATGGCATGCCTATGGCTGGACTCCCATCTGCCTTTGACTGTTTCCCTGTGCCAACCTGGTCAGGAAAAATGAATCTCTAAGATTTTTTCTTGTATTTCCCAATCAGTATTCATCCTGGAAGAGTGTTTCTTTGCAGGGGAGAAAGAGAGCTTGTGGTACTTCTCGTGGCTACATCATCAGAGTGGCTATGCCTCATAGTAGATCTCTAATAAATACTTGTTGAATTGAATTAAAGAAGGAAAGAAAATAGAAAACTGTGTTTATGTTTGCAAATTTAGAGAAGGATGAGGAAAAGAAGAAAGAAAAGAGAAAAAGAGGAAACATTGTAGAGATTTCCCTTTTCTTCATTTTTTTATTTTTTCTCTTTTTCCATCTCCTTTTCCCCCTCCCTTTCCCCTCTCTCTAATCTTTACTCCTCATTTTTTGTGTCACCTTTGGCAAGTTATTTAACCCAACTATGCCTTAGTTTCCTCATCCATAAAGTGAGATTAGTTCTTGCTTTATCTACTATAGAAATGGTGTGAGGATCAGATTTGATAACTGATGTAGAAAGCCATTAGAAAAACATGAAAATCCTACGTATATAAGAATTTTTACGTTTGTGAGAAGAGCTAATAAGTCTATAGGGGAAGAATTTTGAAATATCAGGTGTCACTCTTACTGGTTGTTTTTGCTTATCTGCTTCTTTGTTACAAATGAAGATGCAATTCTGGGAGGAGGGAAGGATATCCAGAAATGACTGATTTAAAAAGCAAAAGATATCAACAAAACTTACTTTTAAAACAAGAATTGAAGAAATCCAAGGAACTGTGAAATAATTTCTTTTCTTTCTTTTTACCCTTAATTTCTGGAGGTAAAAAGGAGCACAGTTAGACCATAAATCTCACCCTTTCTCAGCCTGCAGACTATTTCCTTGCCCAAAGAAGACACCAGCAGCACATCTGTAGGAATGTGGGCCAAAGATTTCTCTAGCTTCTAAAATAAACTAAAAGCCCCAACTAGTTTCATACAAGTAGTATAAAACAAAACAAAAAAAATTTAAAACTATCAAACCCACAACCAACCAAACTTTAAAGTCTGGGAAGGGGGATAATCTTTCATTTAAAAATAAAATTAGAATTAGTTCAAACATCTAAGAATAGCATGAAAGCCAATACTAAAACCAGTAAAGATCTAGAGGCATTTTGGGAAAAAAAAAAATTCTGGCAAGTGCCTGGGACTTTGAAAGGGCTGTGTTAACAATGTGTCACAGAGATTTGTATCAGAACAGAGTGAAGTAGAACCAGAAAAACAATATACACAATGACTTCAACAATGTAAAGGAAAGAACAACATAACAGCAAAACAAACAAACAAACCACAAAGCTGAATGGTGTCTAATTATAAAGATATTGTAATAAATAGCAATAACTTCAGCTGGGTCCTGGAGAAGAGTTGGAAAAAGAAAATGTACTATACTTATCCTCTTTTGCAGAGGCGGGGGATTATGAGTGTGGAGTATTGGAATATACACTAGCAGACATGGTGATTAGTGTTCCTGAATTGTTTTTTAATTTTTATTTTTGTTAAGGCAATTGTGGTTCAGTGACTTGCCCAGGGTCACACAGTAAGTGTCAAGTGTTTGGTCTGAGGCTAGATTTGAACTCAGATCCTCCTGACTTCAGGGCTGGTGCTCTATCCACTGAGCCACCTTGCTGCCCCTTACTTTTTATTTTTTAATCCTTGTTACAAGGGATGACTTTCTAGGTGGTAGGGAAAGGCTGTGAAGTGAGAAAAGAAGGTGAAGTTAAAAAATAACAAGATATTAATTTAAAATAAAGCTTTTTTTTTAAAGTATCAGGATTTGAAACAGCTTAGCTGAGACTGATACTCATAAATCAGAGGATGCTTTTGAAAAATCTTTATTTCTGTTCCAATTCTTAAAGTTGCTTTTTTGTTTTAATATCTTAATGAGTAAGGTCTTTAGTTTATACCTAAATCAGAGACTGAACAGGAATAAGAGAGAACCATGTAGAGTTAGTTCAAAATGAAACAGATGTTTCCTGAAATCATACCTCCTCTGGCCATGGTCTGGTCTCATTGTACTCCATAACTTGACTATTTTTCTATCTATAAGCCCGAGGATGTTCTTTGCTGCTCTTTTCTGGATTTTTGTGTATATTACCACTCCTCTCTATGCCTACATTCACTACCACTCTGCTTAACCTGCTGGAAAAGTTACCAACCTATGTGGTTTTTTTCCCCTTTTCCCCTTGTTGTGCTCCTTAAAAATAGCATGCACCCATCTTTTGGGTGATTTTAAATTATTTTAAACAATGTAAGGAAACATAGGTCTCAGTGGTGGTGAAATAGTTTGGTTTTTCCGTAGCAAATACTGGGGGAAATGACCAAGTTGCAGAAGTTTATTAGTTAATATAAGTATTTCCCCCCTTCTTGTCATGGTGCCTCTACATTCTTACATCCTGCCTCAGCTCAATTCTGTTAACAGATTTCACAAGATAAGAGTGAGGGTACCTACACCCTTCATAGAAATGTGATGCAAAAGAACTCTAGGAACCTTGCAGGGTAAAAGAAGGTAAGGTAGGGCAAGGGAACAAACATTTATTAAGCACCTTCTGTGTGCTGGGCCCTGTGCTAAATGCTTTACAAATATTATCTCATTTGATTCTCACAACAGCCCTGGGAGGTAGATGCTATTATTACCCCCATTTTAACAGTTGAGGAAACTGAGGCAGACAGCAGTTAAGAGAATTGCCTTAGGGCAGGCAGCTAGTAAATGTCTGAGGCTGAATTTGAATTCAGGTCTTCCTGACTCCAGGTTCAGCTCTCTAGCCACTGGACTACCTGGTTGCCTAGGTAAGGTTTACATTACATTACATTGGCCTCTCTTTTCCTGAATAAGTATATCGTGGATGAAATCTCCCTCTAGAAGGCCTCACTTTTAGAAATTCTTGAATTTGGGATTAACCACACCTTCTGCTATGTACTTTTGGTGGAACTCTCTCAGAGGTGCCTCAGTGCTACTATCTCTTGGGCTGGCAAAGTCCACTCTCAGCATCTTTGTTCTCAAGCCACCCTGTACAGCATAAGCCCCTCTGCTATGTGCTTCTTCCAGGTATGTCATGGCGTTCATACTTCCATTCTTCCTTTCCCTCCTCCTCTACCCCCCCCTTGTCTTGCCTTTCTTCCTCCTTGCCATAGAAGTGGTTTGTTGTATTTGCCTCAGATTTAAAAATTCATAATTACTATTCTGAGAATACCTGTAGAACCTACCTTACAGGATTGTTGAGAGGGCCAAAAGAGATAACCTATGTAAAGTGCTTCACAAACTCTAAATCACCACGTAAATATCAGGCATAAGTATGAAGGAGGTAGCATTTGAGTTGGGTCTTAAGAGGATGGATAGGATTTTAAAAGGTGGAAATTGAAGGAGAGAGTATTGCAGGTAGTTGTTGTGCAGGCCCATACCTGCCTTTAGCAGATCAGGCTGGAGGGGGTAGAGTAGTTTGATTCATTGTTGCCAATTAATAACATTGCTGCAAGTTAATTCTCTGTATGAAACAAATTGTCACAATTTAAAACATGTTCTTCTTCCGAACATGTTTCTCTCTCTCTCTCTCTCTCTCTCTCTCTCTCTCTCTCTTTCTTGTATTTATTCATGAATTTCTACCTTTGAGCTTTAAATTAGTTACATTGTATTAGTTTCATTCCTAGACTGAGAGCAGACTCTGACCAAAGCCCCTCTCTCATCATACCACTCTTTTCTCATTGCAGTAGTTAACTCTTTGCCTGTTAATCGCTTACTCTCTTAGGGGAAAAATAAAGGTTTGCTGGTCAATTGAAAAGGTAGAGAACAGATTGAGGAAGGCTGTGAGAACTTGACCAAATCTGAAATGCATTAGGTTGCAACAGGAAATCATCGAAGAGTTCCAAGCAGAGGTGTAACATGATTAGAAAATGTCTGAGAACAGTTTGGAGGAGGGGAATAGAATAATATTAAAAAAAAAAAAAACAATTCCTCAGAGCTGTCTCCACTGACTTACTGGGCAGGTTGTTCCAATTAAGGTTGGTGGGATAGCGGGAAGAGTAAGAGAAAGAAACTCCCTCTCCCTTACCCTCTGGTAGAGGTGCAAGTTGAAAGGCAAAGCTCATTCCCCTCCTTAGAGCTGGGTTCTCCTGTAGATTTCCAGGGGCCACACTTCTTGGAACTCTCCTGTATTCAAACCTGGCAAACAAGCCTATCCTCTAGGCAGTCAATGGTAAGACAGTCTTCTAAATCCTTGAAGCTTGATTCAAGGTTTCTTTATACTTTATAACAGGGCATAGTAACAAGTGTAAATCTTAAAAAAAAAATCTAAAACCTTAACACCTTAAACCTTTGATATAAATGTTAACTATTACCATTGTCTCTGTTATTTGTCCTTACTTTATGTGATTATATTAACTGTTAGTAAGCAATTGCTTTCCTGATCAATCCCCTTCCACCATATATTTTAAGGGAATCTGACCTTCAGGAGATCAGTTATTATCCCTATTTTCAGATGAAGGTAGTGAATCTCAAAGAAGCTCACTTTTCTTTATTTAAATATGGGATTTCCTGATTGCAAGTCCAGCAATATCTCCACAATTCCACCCGAGATGGAAAGACTTAGAAGGTGCTCACAATACTCCAAGCCATTTTTGAAAATAAATTTTTATTGATATCATTTTTTACATCACCAAAAAATTTCCCCTCCTTTTCCCACAAAGCCTTCCCATATATCAAATGGGGGGGGGGGGCAACAGAAAAAAACCCCAGCAAAACAGATGAATACATAGAAAAAGTCTTAAAATATGTAAAATGTCCAACGACCCACGGAAGACTTCCCACCTCCACAAAGGTGTGGGGTGGGGGTGTCATCTGATATTTTTGCTTTGTTTTGTTTTATAGTTTTGCAACATTCACTTCTGATTGTTTTTAGGACAGTCTTTCCGTTTACATCGTTTTAAGTCATTGTGCATACAGGGAGGTACCAATTTGTTCTAATAAGAAATTTCCTTGAAGTGGTCTCATTATTGGAACTCGCACAGCATAATTCCATTGGGCTGGAACCAGGTACCATATTTTACATAATTATAACTTCGAATAGTGTGAATTCGAATACCTGAACTGTTTTTCTTGGCTCAAAAGTAGGTGATAATTGAAGATAACAGCAGAATAAAGGAAGGTGGGGCGGTACTAAACCCAGTCTTAAGTGAGAAGCCAGTTTCACTTCCCACCCTCAAGTCACTCCCTGCCCGCCCTACCAAGACCTGTAGGAAGCCATCTTGAACCTTGCCTCTCCAAGGAAACTACAGCTCCCAGAATTCCGTGCGTCACGAGCGTAGTGCTGGCACGGGGCGTGGGCAGGAGCCATCTTAGTTGCTGGCCGGGCCTCGAAGCAGGGCTAGTCGGCCAGGCGCCATCTTTGAGGCTGGCAACCCGGAGGGTCCGTGGCTGTTGCCCGAGGAACGAAAAGCAGTGGCGGCAGCGACGGCGACAGACCCTGGCAGCGAATGAAGGAAAGAGTCGAGGCCGCGGCGGAAGCGGTGAAGAGCGACTCCGGCCTGGTCAAGTTACGCCTTCAGGTAACTAGACCGACTTCCTGACCCCGGAGCGGGTCGGGGTTCGGGGGTGTGGGGAAGCCCCAGGGAGGGCGGCCTAGGAAGCCCCGGGCGGGCCCTTCGTCAGCCCTGCCGTAACGACCCGGCCTGGCAGACGCCCCGGGCCCCCTCCCCGCGCCTGCTCCGCTCCTGTCACAGCCCGGCGGGGGCCCCCTCCCCGCCCCCACCCCGGCCGCCCCCAGCGTCACGGCCGAGCCGAGCGGAGCCGAGCCGAGCCCGGACTCCTCCCCCTGGCCCGCCGCCTGCCCGCGCGGCCCGGCTCCGGCCCCTGCCTCGGGCCTGTGGCCAGGTGACGATGCCGCCTCGATCCGCCGGAGAAACTCCCCGAAATCGGGGCCCAGGTCCCCGCAGCTCGTGGACCGAGAGGGAGCGGACGAGCTGGAGTCCGAGGCCCTGGTGTTCGAATCCCGACTCGGGCCGGGCATCGGGCTTCGCTGCGCCTCCAGTTTCCCTCCTCTGTTTAAAGAAAAGAAGAAGAAAAAGAGGCTGGACTAGCTGATGACGTGGGAGGTCCCTTTCAGCTGTAGCTCGGGCACCCCACGATCCCTCTTCCTGCTAGTGTTGATGAAGGGCAGCAGCCCCTCTGTGTGGACTGCGGCTCCCGGGAGAGGAAGGCGTGCTCTTCTACCCGGTCGTCCGCTCTCACCCACCTCCACTTCTGGACCTGGACCACACGCTGTCACCAGCCCCAGTGACGCTGTTTGGGGTTGGTCGGACAACGTTTGTTAAGCGCCTGCTGAGCGCCAGGCATTGTGACGAGTGCTGGGGTATATAAAGACAGCCCAGGCTCTCTCGGAGCTCAGTCGGGTGGCGTTTGACTGGGACCAAAGTGAAAAAAAGTTAATTCACTTTCCTGGGCTTGAGGTTGTCTGGAAACGCTACTTGTGAGTTACTTATTTGCAGATTGTAAAGTATCTCCACTCCCCAAAGGAGGGTAAGGACCAGAATTGAGTTAATTCTTGATAGAAATAGAATTTAGATCCGCATTATAACTCTTGAAAACATGTAACATCTTGCTCTCAGCTGCGTTGTTTAGGTCCACCTGCCCCCTTCCAACCAAAGATTTTTAGTTTAAAATGGGGGGGGGGGGAACAAGCATTTGCTGTGATTGACTGGTATGTGGAGTCAGATCTGTCTCGAGAATTAGGTTCTTATCCGCAACTTGGACACTGAATAAAATGGCAGTTTCATTAGTTTAAAAATGGAAAATCCTAGAAATAGATTCATAGTCTTTAAGAGTTAAAATCTGAAAACATCAAAAGGTTAATTGTATAATGTGGAAAGAAGGCTTGGGTTCTGGCGACTCTGCTGCTAACTCTAAATGACCTTCAGTTTCTGGGTCTTAATTTCTTGATTTCTAAAATGAGGAAATTGAACCATGTGGTAGCTAGGACCTCCCATCTCTGTAACTTTTTAAGATATTTTGGAGATATTTTCTTTCTGTTGTCAATTTTCTCACCCAAGTAGGACTATGTATCTAAAAGGGAACTCGAAGTGAAAGAAGAGATGATTCAAGTAGGGAGAAACAGCTGTATTACTACAATAATAAACCTATTACAAGATTCTTGTATAAGGTTTGGAAACCAGGAATATACTTTTGGTGTGCTGGTGTCTTCAGTTTTTCCTGGCAGCATGCACGGCATTTTTAGTAATATTGGGATTCTGGAATATGTTTCAAGAACCCTTATTAATACAGGTGGAAAAAAAGCAGGAATTCTTAACTTTTTTGTGTGTCATGCACCAATCAGGTTGGCAGTCTAGTGAACCCTGGGGACCCCTTCTCACAATGTTTTTAAATGCACACAATAAAATGCGTAAGATTACAAAGGAAACCATTTATATTGAATGACAGTTATAAAAATATTTAAAAATAAAAATTCACGGACTCCAGGTAAAGATCTCTTCTGACTCCCCCCATAGAGGGAAAAATGGTTGCAAAAGAGATAAATGTTGACACAGAGTTGTTTCCCAACAAGATAAGAAAGGAAAGCCAGACCTCATCAAGAACTGGTCAGTTCCGCAAAAAATCATTAAAGATTTGAGATCTGGAGGATCTCAAGTGCCACAGCTACTACTGATATATTATGTGCCAGTACTCCCAAGTAGGATGAAGAACATCTTAAATTGCATGCTGCATAGCCAAACAAATCCTGCTGGATACAAAAATGCAATTTTTCTATGTTAACCCATGATAAACCTGTTGAACAATTTGTAGCAGCTTTAAAAAGAAGTGTCAACAGGTGTAAAAGGAGACATCCACATGAGTACCTCGGCATTTCAGCAGTATGGCTAGACAAAGCTTTCAGTCTCCAGAGGCAATTATAAAGTTGTACTGGCCACTCGGAAGTAGCTGTAGTGAGGAAGATTATACCTTCCATATGTTCAACTCCCATTACACTTGAAAATAAATGTAACAGTCTGGACAGAAATAGGAGCTTTGAATGTGCCTCTAATTTTTACTTTAATATTGATAGAATGGAGGGGCAGCTAGGTGGCGCAGTGGATAGAGCTCCGGCCCTGAAGTCAAGAGGACCTGAGTTCAAATCCAACCTCAGACCAAACACTTGACACATACTAGCTGTGTGACCTTGGGCAAGTCACTTAACCCGATTGCCTCACCAAAAAAAATATTGATAGAATGGAAACTATGTCAATCATAAGTCTTGCAGCAAAAAGAAAATTAAAATTGAAAATTAAAAAGAAAAATAAAATTGAAAGATAGATTTATGCCTTTCCAGTTAAATTTTGGTTAAGGAATTTGTTAAAGATGATAGTTTAACTGTAGCTTCCAGCATGTCTTTAACAATCATGGAATCTGATGTCCTTGTCTAAGAGACTTTCTTCATTAAAAGCAGCACCATATTTTAATGCCTGGAACAAAACTCAAGACATTGGTAATTTGGAATTTCTGCTTTGACGCTAACCTGGTGGGCATCGTAAAGAGTATGAGCTGGACTCACCAGGCACTCACCTTGGAAAACTACACTTTAGGGTTACCTACAGTCTAAGCATCCCACCCACTGCCAATGTAATGGTGCTACTGGAAATGTGTTATAAGTGGAGGACTTCTTCATAGGACCAGGAGCTGTGAACTTTTTTCTGGCTCAGAAAAATGATCAATTGAACTATCTTCTCAACTGGGAAAAATTTATAGGCAAATAAGATTTAACATTTCAAAACCTAACTTCAGCTCTACCTCTCAAGTTAGGGATTCAAAATATTAGGTGCAGTAAGATGAGAAATACAGAGAAACAAAAATAAGCAGAACAAAGAGCAACATATGAAATAACTACAACACTGTAACTGAAAAGATCACTTAAAGGAGGTTAAATTCTGAGTAATATATAAAGGAATGAAGGTCCAGAAGGATAGGTAGTGAAATGTCCCTCCTCTTTCATGGCAGAAAGATGGACTACAGGACAGAATATTATATACATTGTCAGATATACTTAAGTCAGGTCAATAAGCATTTATTAAGTACTTACCATGTGGCAGACACTGTGCTAAATTCTAAGGATAGAAAGGCAGAAAAGCTCTCAAGGAGCTCAAAGTCTAATGGAAGAAACAACATGCAAACAACTACATACAAAAAAGATATCTACAGGGCAAAGCGGAGGCAAATCTCAGGTGGAAGGTACTGAGATTAAGGGAGGATGGGAAATGCCTTATTGTAGAAGGTGTGACTTACTAGCTGAGATTTGAGGGAAGCCAGGAGCAAAAGATGAGGAGGGAAAGAATTCAAGTATTGGAGGATAGCCAGTGAAAATACCCAAAATGGGGAGATGTGTAGTGTCTTCACTGAGGAAAGGGCAAGAAGGCCAGTGCCACTGGATCCTCGAATATTTGGAGGAGAAATAAGATGTAAGAAGACTGGAGAGGCAGGAGGGGACCAGGGCTTTAAAATTCCAGATTTTATATTTGATCCTTGGTGTGATAGGGAGCCACTGAAGTTTATTAAGTAAAGTGAGGGAGGTGGGGAATCAGCTTGACTGCAGAGTGAAGGATGGACTGGAGAGGGGAAAGAATTGAGGCAGGCACACCAAACAGGCTTTTGCACTAGTTCAGACAAACTGGATGTCTTTGTGTAATTGTTTTCCATCACTAGGAAAAATGTCATAGGAGTAGTGGTAACATTGCTGATGTAAAGGACAAAAGGCATCATAAAATAAAACACCATGAAGTCAAAATAAAACACTTAAAATTAACACCCCACAGAATGTCTTACTGCAGTTCAAGCTTTGCATCTTAGCCACTTTGTTAGCTTCTTGTTGTAAAGAAAATTTAGATGACTTCCTCAGGATAATGATTTAGAAGCATAAGCAGATCCTTGTGGGAGAAGTTTGTAATTATATGGACATTTCCACAGAGAAGTGCCATGTGGTCACTTTAGAAGCTTCTGGCCTTATCACCTGTACTAGGAACTGATATGCTTATAGCTTGTCCAGAAAGACAGCCCACTCCTATTTGGGCCCCATTGATAGCTCAGCAACAGATAGTATTTCAGTGACAAGCAAAAGCCTTATATTGCCCCTGCTGCAGCAGCAGCATTTGAAGAATACTGGAATGAAAAGTGCTCAAAATTATAGTAAGCAGTGACCCCCTGATATATTTGCAGAATATGAGACTTAATGGCCAACTTTAACCCAAGTTGCCATCCAGTACCTAAACTGCTCCATCTGTAGTCTACAATCTGAATGTCTCTTTTATAAACACCCATCTTGTCTCAAAGTAGATAGGTGAAAATATTGAACAATTGAGGTTTCCTGAAAATGAACTTAAACTTTAATTATGATTATTTTTTACTGGCTTCTAGCTGGAATATTATATACAGATAATACAGTTCAGAGTGAATTCAATAATTATCCTTAATTTTTTTTTGAGTATCTAAATTATTTGGTGGAAAGATCAATTTAGAATAATTGAAGGCTTTTTACTTTGAATTGATCCCTTGGGAATTTGTATAGCAAGGAGAAACCCAAGTTAACTGGCCAGTGAAATTAAAATGTTTATTATAGATGCTTTTGGGTAAAGGGGGTAGATAGCACTAAAAGTGGCAAAATATATTCTTACAATTTGGAAAGTCAAGATTTGTACAGGAGATGGGAGTGAAAAACACAAAGAAACAATTTTGGCTAAGATGGTTTTCATTTTCCAAAGAGAATGCTTTGTCAGACTTTCATTAGTGTGTTAAAAAAAAAAAAAAATCAAAACCTTGAAGTTAAGTGGATGTCCCATGAAACTGTCAAAAAAATTGTTTTGGACATTCTAATCTTAACTAAGAATAAGCAGTCTGCTTTTTGGAGTATTAATCTGTAAAATGAACTTAGACTAGGTTTTTACATTAAGATGTAATTTAGTCCTTTTAAGTAGGACCAGATATATAATCATTAAAAAGGGAAAGAAAGTTTGAGATTTTCTCCTAGCAAAACTTTTTTTAAAGCCCAATTTTATGCAAGTTTCTGACTAAGTAGTAGAAGATCTGATTTCTCCTTTTTTTTTTTTAATTTTAGGTTTGGGGATATTCCCTGCTCAAAAAAGTCCTGGAAAATTGACTAGTGTTGTGTGAGTAAAAGGTGTCCACATTTTATTTTCAAATTCTAAGTAACATTTTAATTTTTGTTTTGTCTTGGGTAGAATTTGACAAGATTTAGCCTAGAGGTTGTGCAACTTTTATAAGAATCAAAATTCCTTTTAAGTTTTGGGGGCTGGTTTAAAAATCTAGAATAAACCTTAAAAATAACAATGTTTTTATTTAAACTTTTTTGTTATAACGTGTCAACATCATTGCAAAATTGAAAGTTTGAACACCTCACTAACCTGAATAGACAGGCAATTATAAATTCCTTATTAGTAGTCAGTAGCTTAAAAAATTTGAAACAGCTGCTCACGCAAACCTTTGCATGACTAATACTTAATGCCTTGCTAGCAGAATTGGTATTGATTTAAAGGAAATGTTGTCTTTCCCCAAGTGTTAAGCTCCTTATGTTTTCTATAACTGTTTTCAGAATGACTTCTCTGCTTCTCTGCCATCTATAGTTTGTTGTACCATTCAGTTGTCACTACTCTGATCATTTCCATCTATTTTGGTTAAAGATCATATGGAAACTTTAATGTTATACATGCATCCATACTATACACATTCATATGTGTAAGGATATTATTTCATCAACATTTGTGGGCTGGTGCAAGATTTCAGCCTTTTTAAAAAGATACCTTGATTCTGAGTTTTTATCATTATTTTTTTTAAAATGCAGTCAAACCTAAAGATTTTTATTATATATTTTAAAGATGAAAAATTACTCAAATGCTTTGTTTATGCACATTTGTGTATATGTGTTTGTGTGTATAAACCAATTTGTATATATGTATATGCTTATATACATAGATACACACATACCTATACCTTTACATACACATGTATTTTCAGTGTACAGATAATAAAGATGGGGGAAGGTTTCTGTTTTTTCTTAATAGGTGAAGAAATCTTGAAGACCAGAATTGGATATTATTCAATTTTTTGTTTTTGTTTTTTAAAAAAAAATAAGTTGTCCGGCTGTGGAAGATGGATCTTTTTTTGTAGCCCTTTGAATTTCCAGTTCATCTTTAAATGAACTATTTTTTTTTTTGGAAGAGATAACTAACCCTGGCTGTCTCCATTCTGAGAGAGATTATTCGAATGGACTTATTCTTCCAGTAGTTGGGAGATGTTTAAAAAGCACAGCCTGTGTTTGAATTGTGGCTGAGAGGTGTTTCCTTGTCAATGTGAGGAGGAAAATTCTTTCTGCCCCTTTATTATTAATTCACGGATTGAGTGTTGGTTCGACCTACAGGAGTAATAAATTGGAATTCATTGAAGACAGACGATCCTGTGGAGGTCACCCAGCTAATGTAAGTATGGAGATGTATCATTTGCCTTTTTTTTTTCTTTTAAAGAGTAGATATTTCTATAATTTAAATTATAATTATTTAGAATATTAAGGTTATCTGCATAATTTTCAGAAGCACAAGTCAAGCATTTTATGCTTTTCAGAAAAATGAGCATCTCTTGCAATGAGTAGTCTGCAAGAAATGGATTTGTACTTGATTTTTTAAATGGTTATTCTAGTCCTGAAATTAGACTGTTTAAAAAACAGCTCACTGGCTAATTGGGTTTGAACTCCAGTTTAATTTTTATTTGTTATTCTGTTTTTCTTTTAAAATGATGTTTTTCACTGAGAGAATTGCACAGAATTGTCTTGATTCTTCTGCTTATATTTTGGGAGAATAGTAGTTTTCTGGTATAGCAGCTACATTATTAAATATTGAAGGCACTACTGTCTGTTACTTAGCAACATCATTGAACTATAACTTTATTTTTAACTAATGGCTTAAATAAAGGCTGAAGAAATGATTTTTTTCAGTATTAATAATTGTGCTCCTTCAAATAAAGCTTTCCTCTGGAAATATGTAAGTATATACCTCTCACAAGTGAGTGAAAAGTTGAACTATTTGCTGATAGTGATTTTCAGAGGTCTCCATCCTTGATAATCAATTCAACAAGCCATTTATTCCATCCCTACTATGTACTAAGTACTCTAGGCAGGAGGGTTACAAAGACAAAAATACAATAGCCCCTGACTTCAAAGCACTTACATTCTTATCAAGTAGGGATGAGGGATACAATATGTACACAAAAAAGTAAATACAGTGTCATTCAGTGAATTAGGAGAGGCTTAAAATCAGAAGTGGCACCTGAACTGAGACTTGAGGAATGCCAATGATGCTAAGATGCAAAAAGGAGGAGCCACAGAAAAAAAGAATAGGTCAAGGTGGCCAGTTTGAGAATTTTTGTGCAACATTTAACTTTTAGTTAATGTGAAGCATCCTAAAATTTTTATCTTTTACTTAAGTAAATATTGAAGCTGAGGAATGCATGAAATGAAAGTTCCATACTTTATAATCTATAAATTGCCTCTTGGTGGGCTTGAGTGGTAGGAGTGTATGTTGTCTGCTACAAAGTGAAACAAGTCTGAACTCAGTGTGGTGAAGTAGAAGAGGGATATCCTGAGGGCTTCTGAGCCTTGCAGAAAGCATTTCCATAGCTACTGGGAAGAGGCCCTTGATTTACTCACTGTGGTTTTTATGTTACATATGAAATGTAAGTAACTGAATTTCTAGACCTGGTTTTGGAATGAAAAACTAAGCAAATACCCTCCTAATTCTTAGTATCAGCACATATCTTAGCTTTTAATTAGAGTCCAGAAAGTGTGTGTTTGTTGAAAGGGAAGAGTTCTAGTACTTTTAGAAATATGTTTTTAAAATGACGCGGAATATTCTAATGTGTAGTTTAGTGCAATCTATGTACATGCCCCAAATCATGTTTCCCACGTGTGTGTGCTCACAGCTGTACTGTCTCTTTATATTTCAAATAGAGTGATTATTTGTTGTGAGAGAAATGTATAGAGCACAAGAGATTCTTACACCTCAGCTTCCTTATCTATGATGTAGGGTAATAAAACTTGTAGTAGCTACCTCCCAGGATTATTGGAAAGATCAAGTAATCAATCACAATTATTGATTAAGTGCATACTCTTGTGTCCACTACTGTGCCAGTTGCTGGGGATACAAGTACAGAAAAAAAAATCTTTACTTGCAAGAAGCTTACATTCCAATGGTAGAGACAAATACACATAAAACATATATGGCATATGTATAAAGTGAATAAATACAAATATATACAATAAAGTAGTTTATGATAATGAAAGTGTGATATAACAGGAGATAAATAAACATGTATATAAAGTATTTTGCAAACCTTAAAGCACTATGTAAATAAATGTCAGTTATTTTAATTTTCCTTCTCAAGAAGCAGTGAGTTTTGACTGTGCAAAACAGCTCTTGCTTTCACCCTTGCAATGTATGTATCTGTCATCAGTCAGTAAAGCAGGCAGAAAACAAATAACTTGCTTTTTTTTTTTCAGAATCCAGAGGTTTGTCTCTAGAAGGCCCCCAGTGAGAAGAATTCTGTCTTTTAGTTTACAGCCAGGGAAAATTGAGTTTAAAATAGATTTGATTATAATATGTTCTTCCCCCTGCCTCCACTGGTGAGTTTGGGTGTAAGTGCAACCATTTTCATTATTATGTAAATATATGTCCAGGTAAAAGGAAGTTCAGAAACATATAGATTTTAACTTTATTCCAGTAAAATAATTTGCACCTTCTAAGTCAGGTGCATTTGCTTTTGAAATAAGAATCAGATGCTTTTGTAATATTAAGGGTAGTGTGATACAATGTAAAGGGTAAACTTAGAGTTATGTGATCTGAGTTTGAATCTCAGTTCTTCCACTTACTCGCTTTGTGATCAAAGTCACAACCTCTCTGAGCCTCAAATTTCCTCAACTGTGAAATGAAAGATTGGACTACATGATTTCTAAGGCTTCTTCTAGATCCATGATCCTATGAATCCTAATGTAGCAGTTTTCAAGTGAAAAAAAAATTCTAGATTATTTCTTCCCTGGCCAAGTCTAGCATGTAGATTGCATAGGAATCATCTAAGTATTAGAAAAATTAATCTGAGTCATCTGTTTAGTTAGCAGTATTTATTGAGCATTCACACTCTTCTGATGAATATATTAGATCCCATAGGAAATATGAAAGAGAAAAATGAAAGTATGATTATCTGCAAGGATTTTATAGTCTAAGTGAAATATCACAAGTATAGAATATACTTGTATATTGTATACAATATGTATACAATATACACATAGAAATTACATGAAAGTATGTTTATAAAACAACAAATATGGATTAACATCTTTGGATATTAGGATACAACTAGAAAAGAGAAGCAGTGTGGTTTAAGTTTACTGGATAGAGAGCAAACCTCAGAGTCAGGAAAATCTGGGTTCAAGTCCCAACCCTAATAGATATTGATTTTGTGACTGGGTAAATCATTTTAATTTCACAGTGGCACAGGAGACTCGTAAGACCATAGATTGCCTTGAAGGTGCCAGTATGCATCAGAGAGGGAGTTCCATATAATAATGAAATCATTGGTCCAATACAAAAAGAGAAATAATGTAACAAACATTTATGGAAACCCTGGTATGCCCAAAGCATTGTGGTAGGCACTAAGTGAGATACAAAATATGATGCCATTGCTCTTCTTGAGATCATTGTCTAGTGGAGGGATAAGATACCAACACAGATTTTGCACTGTTATCTCACAAATGATCAAAATCATTTAGGGTTAGAAGTTGTAGAATAGGAGATGTACCTCATATATTTTGATTTATATTCCCTTCTATCTAAGGTAACATTTTAAAGAAGATTTCAGTGGTTGAATTGCCTGTGGAAGATTGAGAACATTTGAAAAAGAGTTGGAACCTGGTTCTCTTCTAGAGAAGTAGTGGCTTGTTTTCAAGCCCCAGCACTTGATCTGAGGATCTGGCCAGCATGTCTAATCAAGGAGAAGACTGCTACTTTTTTTTCTATTCTACATGCACCAAGGTAGAACTTAAAAGTTCTTTCCTATAATTGATTTCCTACATTGGATAAGATTTTCTCTAATCATTTTAATGTTTGTGTTTCACTGCTTATCTGTTTTATTTGGTCTTTCGTGCTCTTCCTCTAGGAAAGAATAGTGCACAATAGGAGAATTTGTTTATTCTTTATAATCTTTTTCTTCTTCTGGTGGTTTTGTACCTTTAATTGTATTTTTTATGTTTTGCCAGAGTGATCTTTTAAAAGGCATATGATATAAAATAGCATTAAGTTTAAAAAATAGTATGTTTACACTGATTTCAATTATATAAAAATGTGTATATGAACATTAACAGTTGGAAGAAAATTTAGAGTGTAAATAGTTAATGTTCATTGTCTTTTATTTTAAAGTTGCTTCAGGTTGTAACTGAAAAAAGTTCAAGGCACATGACAAAGTTGCCATTCTGCGTAGTCTGTACCATGTTTTTTTCTCTCTGCAGCCCTAAAATGGTGAAGACCACTGGCCATAGGCTGTTGACGTTGATTTTATGTAATGTGAATGTTATTATGTATGTGTAGTTGCCACTTTTCCATGAGTGTGTAAATTAAGATTTATATTTTAATTCTTTTCTTTTCCAAATTTCTTGCTGACAACTCTGAAGATACACACACACGCGCGCACACACACACACACAGCTTTTCTAGCCTCTTTCATTTTGATATGTACTATTTGTCTCTTTCTTGTAATTTACACATCTATGTCTTCATATGAAAGACTTTTTTCTAAACCCCTTTAGTAACATCATGCTTAGAATGCCCAAATACGTGTGTAGTTCTCTGTTGTGATCAAAGCCCTGGCAATTTTGTTGATTCTAAGTACATATAGCCCGCCAATTATACCAAAATGGTGCTTAATTTCAGAGTATTAACAATATGTGCTGCCTGTGTTATAGAACATGTGACTGGCCCTATCTTCTGGTCTAGCATCTTGATATTTTATAGCTAGAATTGGCTTTACCTGTAGAACTCAGGATATGTAGGTTGAAATTAAGCTACTGTTTATATATTTTTCAGGTTTTAACACTCTCACTTGTGTTTTCTTTGACTCTGAATCTATACTTATGTGTTCTAGCCTCAGATGAAGGAAATAGTAATAACTGTAAGAAATACCTATAAGAAATCTTTGCAAAGTAGAACCTATTTCTCTTAGATTAATCCTACTTTCTTTGAACTTTTATTTTTTTTTTATCTTGACTTATCTCTTTTGCCTATTAAGTACTTACCACTGAGCAGCAGAGTTTTACATTTATAGATGTATGTGAATCTTTTAGGTCATAATTATTTTCTTTCTTCTTTCCTATTTGTTACAGGGAGATAGCTGCCCATTCCGGCACTGTGAAGCTGCCCTAGGAAATGAGACTGTTTGCACACTGTGGCAGGAAGGGCGCTGTTTTCGACAGGTCTGCAGGTTCCGACACATGGAAATTGATGTAAGTGGTCAGTCTTAAGTTTAGTGACATTTGATAATCAGTAGCCTGAAACCAGAAACACTGGGTGGTAGGACAATTAAAAAATTTAATTTCTTTGCTTTGTGTAGTTTGATGAGTAAGAGGAATAGGACAAACTGGCATGCCTTTTTATGAGCTGGCAAACTTTATGTACTTATCTATAAGGCTGAATGGGTTAAATATCACATGATTGTGGAACACAGCAGGATTCACTACCATAGGTCAACCTATGTTGTGAAAGTTTACTTCCAAGAAAGAGGTAGTAAAATCTCTTAAACCAAAGGCCTCAGGAGCAAGGAAAATTAACATCAGATCCTGAATTGGGACACTGGATTTCTGTGGCTTCGAAGCAAGAGGCAATTAAATAATTGCTATTATCATCATCTATAAAATAGCAATGTTTATAATTCCCATTTGGGAATTTCAAAAGAATAATTGCTCATTGTCTTTATAGGTCTCTGCTGGTAAAAATATCTGATCTTTTTGCATGTGTTTTTTTGGGGGGGAGACGGAGCTTTATTAAAAGCTCTGAAATATTCTACACTCTATACTCTTTTTAATGCATCTGAGGTTCTTCATAAAATTAACAGTATTTCATTATTTTCTTTTCCCCTTTAACATTATAAATATTACTATTACTGATAATGATCTTTTAAAATTCCTACTGCTATAATTTCCTAGAAGCTTAGACCTTGGGCTGTTTGTTTTTATCTGTTTTGCCTAGACCTGTGATTGTATCACTGTGGGGAAGCCCAGTGAAGAATCTTCTTCTATCAGTGCAGAACAATTCTTCTGCAACTTATAATTTTAGAGAAATGCCCAGTACACTAAGAGGTTAAGGTGGCTTGCCCAGGGTCATATAGCTAGCAAGTGGAAGAACTGGAATTTGAATCCCAATTCTTTGGTTTAGAATCCAGCACTATTTTTAAAAATTAATTTAGTTTTTTGTTCCAAATTCTCTTTTCCCTTTTTTCTTTCCTCTACTCATTGAGAAAGCAAGAAAAATAAAACCATTGCAGATAAGGATAGTCATGCAAAACATAGTACAGTGTGTGTGTGTGTGTGTGTGTGTGAGAGAGAGAGAGAGAAAAGGAGAAGAGGGGGTGGGGCAGGAGGAGGAGGATCAATTTGTACTCTGTTGTTCATTGTGTTGATCAGAGTTCCTAACTCTTTCAAAGTTGATTATCTTTACAATAATTTTGTTATTTTGTAAGTTATTCTTTTGGTTCTGCTTGCTTTATTTCATATTGGTTCATACATATCTTCCCAGGTTCTAAAACTATTCCCTTTCATTACTTTTTATATCACAATTGTATTCCATCACATTCACATACCACAGCTTGTGCAGCCATTCTCCATTCTCATACTATTTTCACATGTACTATGCTGCCTTCCCTGACTCATAAGCAGGAAGAGTAGTTATGGAGAAAGTTGTGGATATAGTTGGGGAGACGATGGAGTGTTGTGGATTAAACAGTAAACCAGATGGGTTCAGAACTGATCAGATGGCCAAACTCAGAGTAATTGTAAATGGTTTGATATTAACTTGGCAGGAAGTCTTCAGAGAAGTACTCTAGGAATGTTTGCTTTGTCCTGTGCCTTTGCTGTGTATAAATGGGTAAAGATACAGATAATCTCATCAAATTTATAGATGACACAAAGCTGGGAGGGAGTAACTAACACACTGGATGATAGGGTCAAGATCCAAAAAGATCTTGTCAGGCTAGAGCATTGGGCTGAATCTAATACAAATGTAAATTTATATATTTGGATAAAAAAAATCAACTTCACAAATAATAAGATGGAGAATGATTAGATAGCAGTTATGAAAAAATCTAGTGGTTTTAGTAGATTGCAAAGCAAATAAAGTCATCAGTCTAATGTGGCAGTTAAAAAAAAGTTAATGTGACCTTGGGGTGCATCAAGAGAAGCATAACTTCCAAAAATAGGGTGGTGAGAGTCCTCCTGTACACTCTCCTTGTCAGAGTTCATCTAAACTGTTGTGTTCGATTCTGAGCATCATAGTTTAAGAAAGACGTTGATAAGCTGGAGAGTGTTCAAAGATGGTAACTAGAATGGTTAAGGCCCCTACCTTCATGATGTATGAGGATCATTTGAAGGAAATGGGGATGGTTGGCCTGAAAAGGAGAAAACGTGTTTGCTGGCTTCAAGTATTTGAAGAGAAGTGTGGAGGAAGGATTAGCTTTGTTCTGTTTGGCCCCTGAGGAGAGAACCAGGAGAGATTGGTGGAAGTTGTGCAAAGACCATTTTAGGCTGCATGTCAGGAAAAATGAACAACTGGAGCTTCCTGAGAGTAGAATTAACTGCCTTAAAGGTGATAGGGTTCCCTTCCTTGGAGATCTTCAGGTAGAGGCTGTATTTGATTCTTGATTGTCCTTTCAAGATAAGATAATCCCATTTCATATTTTGGTTTATCTCTTAATTTTTTCTCTACAGAAAAAGCGGAGTGAGATTCCATGCTACTGGGAAAACCAGCCAATGGGATGTCAAAAATTAAATTGTGCATTTCATCACAACAGAGGTCGCTATGTTGAAGGCCTTTTCCTACCTCCAAGCAAAAGTAAGTTTTGTTTTTATTTTAAATAATTTCACACATTTTTAGTCACTCTAATATTTTCTGATTTTAATTTTTTATCACACCACAAAGACCTTCAAAAGAAGCTTGAATTTATCAGCTCCAACCTAAATCCAAGCCAAGCCAATAAACACTTATTAAACACCAACTATTTGCAAGTCAGTGTACTAGGTGTTGGGGACACAAAGACAAAAGTAAGAAATCCCTTCCCTTAAAAGCTTACATTCTGAGCAGAAAAGGGAGAAGAATTGGATTCAGAATAGCAATTCTTCTTGTTGCTTCTTCTACTTTCTTTTTTTAAATAAAATTTTATTAATACCATTTGTTTTTATATCACCTGCATACTTCTCTCATTCCTCCCCTCTTCCTTCAGTCTCTTGAAAAATAATACTATAATTAAGCAAACCATTTATCAGCTGCTTTGAGTGGAAAGAACTCTAGCAGATGTCAAGATAATTGAAGTCTCTCCTCATCTATCACGTCTGAACTCCCAATCTCTTTGCTCTTTCTTTCCAGGAGGTCTGAAGTACACCTATGCCAATATCATTTCTGCTTCTCCATCCACTGAGCTTCACACCAATACTTTCATTCATGCATGCTTCCTTATCTTATTTCTGGATTTTCTCAAGTAAACATATCTTTTCTTAAGAAATGAATTTTAAAGATAATTTTTGTTTTGTTATCACCTACAGTTTCCTCTGTATCTTTCTTCCTATCCCCATCCTGTCCACAAAGACATTCCTTATAGATCAAAAGAATTTTAAAAGAGTAAATTCAGCAAAACCAGTTATCCTATTGGGGGAAAAAAACTGATATCATGTACATTATGTCACACCCATTGATATTCCCTTCTGCAGAAGAGAGATGTGGGGTATCTTTTTGTACCTTAGGGCCATACTTAGTTTTTATAATTTAGAAATATTCAGTTGTGATTGGTTTGTGATTATTCTTTTCATTTACATTGTTATGATCATTGTATAGATTGTTTTTCTTACTATGCTTATTTCACTTTGCATCAGCTCACATAAGTCTTTTCTTGCTTGTCTGCAGCAGATTCATTATGCTCCTATTTCTTACAGCACAGTAATATGCCATTACATTTGTGTACCACAGTTTAGCTATTCCCCAATTGATGGGCATTTTTGTTTCCAGTTCTTTACAACTTCAAAAAGTGCTGCAATAAATACTTTGGTGTGTATAGAGCATTTCTTTTTGTTAAATATAACTCTCAATCTACAAATGCAATTTTGTTTCTACTTTTTTTGCTTCTATTCCTTTTAAATAAGATTTAACTTTCCATATCCATATTCCAGTCATGGATCTTGTCCCACCATATCTTGGTAATACCTTTGAGGTTACTTGTTTCCCTGCTTTAGTTTACTGTATTGCCCATATTTTGTGTAGCATCTGAGACCTTATGCTTTTTTTGTTTTGTTGTTTACTTTGCTATCTGCCTTACTGGATTTTGCATTTTTTCTCCCATGAATTTCTGGGTGTTTCTACTGCAATTTTTCCTACGTTGGAGCGCCTACTCTTTGGGATTCAGCAGATATATGTAGGCAGTTTTCTTCCTTCTCTCTTTTCCATTTAAAATCTTTTTGGTGAGATTTAGAAAACTCCAAGCAAAAATATTTTTATCAGCCCTCACACAGTATATTCCATTTATGGCTAAGCATTTATCATTTCTTTATTTTAAGCTATGTCCCCAAATCCAAATTGTTTTCTTAATCACTAACTAGTTTTTTCATTCCAGTATCTGCCTTTCTCTTCTGAAACCTCATCTCCATTCTGCAGCAGTGATTAAAATACTTCCTGTCTTAAACTTTCATAATCCCTAGTAGAGCTTTCCTTCAAAATGCTGTGTCCTACTGGAGGCCTTTTCCGATCTCCTCAGATCCTTATTGCCTCTTCCCCCATTTTGCATTATTTTGTATACATTTCATATGTAATTATGTGTGTACATAATGTCTCTCCCAGCAAAGTACCTGGCACATAGTAGGTGTTTAGTAAATGCTTCTTGACAAATGATACTACCAGAATCAGTCAACTAACAAGTGGTTATCAAGTTTAAGAAGTCTGGGGGAGGATTTGTCCTCTCTTTTTATTTGTACTGCTGCTACTGTAATATAAGCCCTTGTTGCTACCCACCTGGACTCCTAATAGACCTAATTTTCACTGTCTCCTTCTTTTATCTCATAGTCAGATTTATCTTCTTTGTACATTTATCTGGTCATGTCCCTTCTCTCCTCAGACCCCTTTAATTACTCCCTGTTGCCTATCAAATAAAGGTTAAAGTCCTTAACTTTATTTTCAGGACTTTTCATGGTCTGGCACAACCCCATATTTCTCATTATCTCATACTACTGAGCCTTCTATGTGTATGATACTCTAACCAAAACTGGACTGTTCACTATCTCTTTATAGGTCCTATGCTTTACTATCTTCAAGCCTTTGCTTGTGCTGTTCCCTGTCCTTATAATGCCCTTCTTCTTCCATTTCACTAACTTTTAAAAATTCAGATGCTGAATTTTTCATGTCATCCATGAAACCTTCCTCAGTTTTCCCCAGTTAGGATACTTTTCTCTCTTCTCTCTCCCAGCTTGCCATAACACTTTGATTTGTTTGCTTCCTCATTTATGTACTATTGTATTTTTAAAATAATTATTTATGTGAGTTATTTCCCAACTAGACTGTAAGCTCCCTAAAAACTAGGATGATGTTTTATCTGTTATGTATTTCTCCAAGCACTTAGCACTGTGTTCTACTAATTAGTAAATGTTTATTTGTTGAATTGATTTGACTTGAATTTTACAACATCTATTTAATAAAAATTAAGTAAACAAGAATCTGTTGCTTAGCAGTTAAATGTAATATAGATTTTAAAGTGTTTTCTACCATATTTTTTCCTCCCATTGCCTTGCTTAACAAAAGTTTTGATTTTTAGAATTCATAAAATTGATTATTAAGAATTAGTAAACACAGTTATTGAGACTTTTATATGTCTTGAATACAGTTGCATATTTATAATTCTTCTTTTGGAATTTGAGGAATTACAAAATAGAAGACAGTTAATGCATCTGAAGAGGATATATTCTAACTAGAGACTAAAAAGGACATAACAAAGTTTTATGAAAACTACTGAATCTAGTATGTGTAGACAAAGTAATTTGGAGTTCTGTTTTTCAATTGTTACTGACTTACTGCTGCCTTTTCACTTTTAGCTATTTTACCCATTGTGCCTGAGTCACCAGATGAAGAGGTGAAAACTAGTCAGCTTTCAATGCAGCAGAATAAACTGTCTGTCCCGTCCAACCCCTCCCCCCAGCTTCGGGGTGTAATGAAAGTGGAAAATTCAGAAAACGTTCCCAGTCCCACACATCCTCCAGTTGTAATCAATGCTGCAGATGATGATGAAGATGACGATGGTAAGCATCAACTTTATTTTGGAGATTCAGAAACAGAGGAACTCAATGAAAAATCACTCAGCGAATCAGAGGTAGAACCAGGAAAAAAACTGTAAGTCTTCATCATTTTAAGTTTTGTTTGTTTGACTTTGTTCTCTAGATCAGTTTTCTGAGGAAGGAGATGAAACTAAAACACCTATTCTACAACCAAGTCCTGAAGTTCATAATGGATTACGTATAACTGGTGCCCGGAAACCCGGGGTCAGCCTAAAGCTAGGTAAGAGTAGGTTTTAAATGCTGATCCTTTACCCCAGAAGTTCTTGATCTTTTTTGTTTTATGGACTCCTCATCAAAATTGTGTTTTAAAGTGCATAAAATAAAATATATAGGATTATTAAGGAAAACAGTTATATTAAAATAGTTATCAGAATATTTTAAAATCAAATTCTTGGGTCTCTGGTTATGAACTTCTGCTCTTAGCCATAAGTTTTATAGAAATATTCACTAATTTGTGACCATTTTTTATAAAGTTCCTATTAGCATATGTTTTTGGCTTAGGGAGGAAGAAAACCCTGGCCAAAATGTCCTAGACAATAGACCCTGCCTCTTTACTGTTTCATTTCTTCATTATAAATCCTCTTTTGGCTTTGTAGGTGATAGTTTGAATTTTGGAATAAAAACTCTTGAAGAAATCAAGTCAAAGAAAATGAAGGAAAAATCTAAAAAGCAAGGAGGTAACGTTTGTGAGAAATTTTTGACAGAGATAGTTGTTTTGATCTTGGAGCATACTATATTTTCCGAACATAAGAACTAAAATGAATGAGTTGTTTTTGTGGCTTATTTTTTTTTCTGGAAGGGTCATTTTTGTTCTAAAGCTAAGGATTGCCTTATCCATTTAATCTGGTTCTATACTGATCCCTAAATAATAGGAACTAAGCTTAAATAGAAAGCCTGTTCACCATTTAACAACAAGATTTCAAAGAAAGGCAAATGAAAAACCATAAAAATTGGAAAATCTGGCTTTGTACTAGAGTTGTCATTCCTTGGGTTGATGATAGAGTTTTCTTCTATAATTGTCTTGACTTGGTTGTTTAATGTCCTGAACCATCATCGTAATCATCATAACAATAATAATGGCTAGTATTTGTATAGAGCTTTAAGGTTTGCAAAATGCTTTACACATGTTATTTGATTCTTATGACAACTCTGAGAGACAGGGGCTCTTATTACCCCTGTTTACAGATGAAGAAACTGAGGCAGACAGGTTAAGTGACTTGCCCAGGGTCACAGACATTGTAAGTGTCTGAGTCAGGATTCCAACTCTACTAAATTTTTAAATGCCAAGTTTCTCTATAAACAGTCACTTTCTTGGAAACTCTTCTCAAGCATGTTCTATATGATTATCTTTATGGGTCTGTATTCAGAATTCAGGTCTGAAAAGTTTATTTGACACGCATAAAGATGAGAAAGAAGTAAGACTCAGCTAGACAGGAATGAATGTCGTAGCAAAGAAAAACTGAGGTTATCTGTAGAGTTAATTTTTATAATGTTTGCCAAGCAAGTAAAGGCAGATTAAATTGTAGTGACTTTAGACTTTGGTCTTCTTGCTATGTCTATAGTGTATCAGTTTTACAGTAACAATCTGAATTTTATTAGTGTCTTTTTCAGTATAGAGTACATTCTTTCAGTTATTTTCACAGCATCCCTGGGAAAAAGAAAACTAGGATAATTATCTTCATTTGACTGAGTAGGGAATCTTACAGTACAGAAAGAGAATTAATTTGCCCACAGTTATAGGACAGGTTGATGCCATATATGGAATAAAACACAAAACTTCCAAATCTTAGTCCATTGTTGGTTTTTCTGTGTAAGCAGTATGTCTACCAGCCAACATTTAGAGTTATAAATTAGGAAAATAAACACTAACTTAAAAATTGTCCTATACTAGCAAAAATGACACTTTTTTTTATGACTACAACTTTGTTCAATCCTGTCACAACAAATAACTTGGCAAAAGACATCACTGCATAACAGAAAAAAAAATCCAAGTTTTGTTTTTCTGACCTGTGAAACCCTAAATTTATATCATGTTTCGTCAAACAAAATTTCAAAGTTTCATGTGAAACAAAAATAACCTCAACACTACTCCAGGAAAAGGGCATCTGAGCCCCAAAGTAGGGTGTCCATATAAGATTTTTGGTGCAAGGTCGAAAAGTTTTCAAGTGTCCAAGGTAGCATAAATTAAGCTCAGTAATTAGCCAAGTAAGTTTCATTCATTCCCCCATTACTAGAGCATCTCTGCCCTCCCCACCACGCTAAGACTGAGCCTGGCCAAGGCTACACTCCTAAGACAACAGGTCTTTTCCAAGGTCAGCTCAGCATAGGCAGGAGGTAGCCAAAGTGACCTGCGGGTGCCCTGTTATTTTGGCAGGCTCCATCCTAGGCAGTCTGGAAGCCCCTCAGCCAGCAACAGCTTTAAACAGAAATAAATGACACTTTTTAGTAGGATCATAGGAATGTAGATTTAGCACAGATCATCTAGTTCAACCCTTTCGTTTTGCAGAGAAGAAAACTGAGGGTCCTGAAAGTTTAAATGAATTGCTCAGGGTAACACAGCTAGTGAGTGATAGGACAGAACTCGATTCCAGATCTGATTCCAAAGCTAGCACTGTTTTCCCTTTACTATATGTTGCTAAATAACTTTCTTGATTCTGTAGACACCTGATTTTGTAAACAAAACCAGTCACTTCAGGGACCCAGGAGTGAATTACTGAATTATTGAAGAGCTACTATGAGATACTTAAAATCTTAAATCTTAAAAAGTTTCGTTGTTTTCCACAAATGGTTTTTGTTTTTGTTTTTTGCTTTATTCAGAAGGACCTTCAGGAGCATCTGCTCACTTATTTCAACCTCAACCCATTCCAGGTCCTGAGAAAGAGAATGTCAGAACTGTGGTGAGGACAGTGACTCTGTCTAACAAACAAGGTGAGGTATAAGTAGGGTTTGGGTTTGTCACTGCCCTGCTTACACAACTGGCAGAGCAAAGATAATGGGTATTTACCACCTTTGTCTCTGTTGAAGGTTCCGCAGATAAAAAGATGTTGATGATTTTGAATATGTTGGTATGTTTTTGAGCTTTGCCTGCTTATGTGAATGCATTCATTCCCTCATTCAAATACTTGATTGCCTACCATGTGCAAGGCACTGTGGGGTATGTAGAATGCTCTTTGCCCACAAAGACTTTAAAACCTAATGAGGGAGATAAAATTTGTACACAAATCACTACAATAAGAGGTAATAACAAATGAGTAGTGCAAAATATAGTAAGAATTCATAAGAAAGAGAAATTAATTTTTGTTGGGCTGGTTAGGGAAGATTTTTGTGGAAGAACAGTGTTTAATCTGGGCCTTTTAGGATGGGAAGATAGTGATGAGAGAGGAGATCATTGTTGGCAAAGGGAATAGCAAGAGTCTTTCAAAAAGATAGTTCCGTTAAGTCAGGAGTTATATTTATTTCTGTGGTATAACATCTGCCAATGTAAACAAAAACATAGGTGAGATGGCGTTTCAGACATCTTCAATTTGGTAAACAATTAAATGACTGCTAGGTACTGGAGATACAAAGGTTAAAAAACAACACAGTCTCTTCCCTCAAAGATTTAGGGGTGAGAGATGCACAAATGCTATAAACTAATATGTTTTAAAAGGTGTAAATATAACTTAGAAAATGGATAAGTGCCTGAGAAATGTTAAATAGGACGGCGTGAGAAAGTCAAGGAAAGGTAAATCATTTTTATCTGGGAGAAAGGAGGGATTAGAGGAGATCTCATGTATCTTAAAGCAGGAAGCACCTCAACTGGGCCTTGAAGAAGAAAGATGTTTAAGGAGGAGAGATTCAATTCAATATATAGTTAAGTGTATGTTAAGATATTAAGAATATAAACTTGACTATTGTGTTTAAAACTCTGGGAATACAAATACAAAAATAAAAGAGCTCTATTCCCAGGGAGCTTAAATTCTATTTGGAGAATATAATAAGGACATAAATATAACATAGGCTAGGAAAGTGAAGAGAGCAAAGGAGAGGTCAGAAGCTACTCTAGGAACATATGAATATGGAGAGAATATTAACAGGTAGGAGTGGGGTGGGGGAATCAAGCAAAGCTTCATGGAGGAGCTGAACCTTAAATATAAGGATTTTGAAAGAGATGAAGGGGAGCATATTGTAAGTATAGCGATGATTTACGCAGATGCACAGAGGTAGAAGACAGCATGTTGAATTCAAGGAACAACAAATTGCACAGTGTGGCTGGAACGTAGAGAGTAATGTGAAATAAGGCTGAAGAGGCAGGTTGGAGCCAGAGTTTATATTATTTCTAGAGACAGTGGAGAACTACCAAAGGTTTTAGAGCAAGGGAGTAAAATGGCCAAGTCCTTTCTCCTAGGAAGATTACTTTGAGATTCCTTGAAAGATGGCATGCAGATGCACATCACCAGTAGGTAAACCACCTAGTAATGAAATTTGTTCACAGCAATCTATGAAATGAAAATGAAAATGGACCTCAGGCCTGCATATAACCTTCTTCTGCTTCTATAATGATGGTGGCAGAGTAGCAGAAAAGGTGCTGCTAAGAACCACGTTATTTTTAGACTGTCAACAAACTTTAGTTTGACTTTTGTCCTTTAAATATGAGATCCCTGTCCAATGACTGAGTAGACATACTGCTAAAGTTACTGAATCATATCTCTCTTGCCACAAACAAAACCAGAAGAAAGAAGGATAGATCACAGCTAAATTGAGAGATCACAGATACTCTTTGTCAAGGCAAAGTAATTGGAATAAGTTTTGTAGTGTGTCCAAAGACTGCAAAGAAACATTATTTCATGGGATATTTGGGCACTTATATGTTCCAATATTTAGGATAAATATGTGCCAAAAGAACAACATGAAAATAACTTTAACTTATGTACCAAATTTGGTTGTTAAAGATGAAGTGGTAGAGAAATTCAACAAAGAACTTGTTAAGACCCTCCAAATCAAATCAGAGGACACTCTGATATTTGGTAAATCAGTATGATGATGGGAAAAAGTGAGGATGAGGAGAAATATACAGGAAAATATGGTTCAGGAGAAAGAAATGGGAGGCCAAAGACTTGATTACACAGAAGCCTTGTGCCTCAATATCATTACTATTTTGCTCAGAAAAAATAATTGGTAGGTGTTAGACAATTACCAAATAACACCACAAAGAATGAAATTAATAATATTTTAACAGACCGGAAAAGACTTATTGACTTGAGAATTATTCCTGAGTCATCTATCTGCACAATCAGATCATCAAGTCAGAACTGATAAGATCAGAGCTTATAATAAGAATAAAAGAATAAGAAAAAAATATAGTGTACAGTTAAAAAAAGATTTAACCTTGAAATATTTAATTTCATCCAGAAGTTAAACCAATGGAAAATAATTGCCACAACAAGGAGGCCAAAAAATCCCAGAAAACACCTTAGCAAACATTTGACTTACTTGCTTACCTACAGAAGAAAAAATGGATTATTTTTTCTTTTACAAGAATAGTGAAGATAATTAGGTCCAGGCACTTCCTTTTTCCACGGTGGTAGTGAACCCTCATTTTCTTGGGTATGGTAACAAGAGAGTAAAATTGGTGCCCTTTCCACATAAGAATAATAGTGATCTAGAAGGCTCCATGATGAAGAGATCTCCAATAGAGCACATGCTTGGGCCAGGGCAGTGACAGCATGCATGGTGAAGCCTCTTTCTTCACCTGTCTTTCAGCTACCTAATGATATGTTTGATGGCCTAATTTCCTTCTCAGCAGTGGCAGAAGCTCTGAGGGCTCCATGGGCAGCTCAAACTTGTCTTGAACCCTTATGAATTCTTGATTAATGAGAATCTTCCCTTCCATTCCTTGGCATCAATCAACAAGTATTTATTAAGCAGCATACTATGTGCTAGGCACTATGCTAAATGCTGAAGACACAAAAAAAAGGCAAAAAACCACCTTTGCCTGCCCTCAAGGAACTCACATTTTAATGGGAGAGATGTATTAATTACTAGGTACATATAGCATATAGACAGAGCAGATGGAAGGTAATTTCAGGAGGGGGCATTAGTAGATGGGAAGGATGGAAATATTCTCTTACAGATAAACTGAATATTAAAGAAAGCCAGGGAAACTGAGGTAAGGATGTAATACATTCCAAGCATAGAGGACAAGCCAGTGCAAGAGCACAGAGATGGGAAATGGATTGCCATGTGTGAAAAATGGCTGGTAGACCAGTACAACTGAATTGTTGAGTATATGAAGGGAAGTTAATTGTAAGACTAGAAAGGGAGAAGGGGCAAGATTGTGAAGAAATTTAAGTACCAGGAATTTATATTTGGGAGTTAATAGGGAGCCACTAGAGTTTGAGTAGGGGAGTGACATAGTCAGACTTGTGCTTTAGGAAAATCACTTGGCAGGTAAGTGAAAGATGGATTAAAGTGGGGTGAGTAGGAGCAGGGATATTAATTAAAAGGCCATTGTAGTAGTCCATTCAAGAGGTGTTGAGGGCCTGTAGTAGGGTAGTAACTATGTAAATGGAAAGAAGGGATTCTGTATGAGAAGTGTTGTAAAGGTAGAAATGACAAGATTTGGCACTGGGTTGGTTAGGTGGGGTGGATCAGAATAAAGAGTTGATGATGATCTCAGTATTCCAAGCCTGGGTGACTAGGAAGATGGTAATGCCCTCCATAGTAATTGAGAAGAAGAGAAAGATTCAGAGAAAAGATAGCAAATTCTGTTCTGGATCTTTTGAGATGTCAGCGAGCCATACAGTTTGAGATGTCCAGAGAACATCTAACAATGTGTGGCTGGAACTCAGGAGAAAGACTAAGGTTGAATAGAGAGATCTGGATTCACCTACATAAAGACATTTGAATCCATGAGAATACATGATTTAGATAGAAAAGAGAAGAGGGCTCATGATAGAGCTTACACCTTATAACAGGATCTCTAGCAGGGTAAGGTGGGTAAAAGGCCATACCAGAAAGTGCCTAGAGAAATTGATAGTGAGTACCAGGATGTTTGAGTGAGTCAGTGTGTACCACTCCACACTCTTCAAACTAAAGTGACCTAGATTATAGGCTAGTAAATATTTGATAATTAGGACCGCTGGAGCAAGGCTGAGCTCAAATGTGGTCAAACCTTCCCATGATGTAGGGGAGTTATACTCATCCTAGAAGTTACTCTGTATATGAATCGAACAGTCTGCTTTTAATAAAAAGGAATCCATTGCAGTTATGTAAAATGGGGCTTGTCCAGAAACATGGTGCCAAGAAGACAGGACAGGATTGAAGATTATTTACCTGGAGTTTACAGTACTTGAAGAGTAGTAACATGAATTATACATTAGCACCTGGTTGTAGGGAGCCTTGAATTCCAGGCTAGGAAGTTTCTGCTTTATTCAGTAGGCAGTGGTGTCTTTCAGCAGAGGAATGATGCCATCATACCTATATACTTTGGCAGTGGTATGAAAGATGGATAAGAGAAAAGACAGTCTAATAACAAGGAGACCGGTTATGGGCCAATTCGTCCAGGCAGGAGGTAATAAGAGTCTGAGCTAGGGTGATGGCATTTGAGTTGAAGGGATGGATATGAGAAACATGTATCAATCAAGAAGCACTATTAAGTGCCTGCTATGTGCTGGGCACTCTATTAGACACTGAGAATACAAAAATAGAAATGAAACAATCCGTGCCTTCAAGGAGGTTTGATTCTATAAGAGGAAACAACACGTACACACGTAGGTAAATCCTAAATATATGCAGAAATAAATACAAAACAGTTTCAGAATAAGATGCCAAGTAGTTGAGGGAGATTATGTAGCATATTCCACTCTTGGATAACTCTTCAGTGTTAGAAAGTTTTTCCTTATGTTAAGTGTAAATCTGCCTCTTTGCAGCTTCTACCCAGTGCTTCTACCTCTATCCTCTGTGGAAACTAGTTTAATATGTCTTCTGTGTGACACTCTTCAAATACTTGGAAACAGCTTCTCCCTCCTCCCCTCCCCCCCACTAAGTGTGGTCTTTTCCATGCTTAAAATACTCAGTTCTTTTAGCCAGTTCTTGTTTGGCATGAACTCAAGGCCATCACGCTATCCTGGTTTGCTATACTCTGACCTCTCTCCATTTTATCATTGTTCTTCCTAAAATGTGGCACCCAGAATTGAACACAATATTCCAATGTAGTCTTGGGAAAGCAGAGTGAAACATCTCTCTGTCCTCTCTGTCTCTTTACATCATCCCCTTCCCCTCCCCCCCCTTCCCACCCTGTTCCAAACACTTTGACTCACTTAATGCAGTCTGAGATCTCATTAGCTTTTTTGGCTTTCCCACTACACAATTGATTCATATTAAGTTTGCAGTCCAGTAAAACCCCCATATCTCTTTCAGATAAAATTCTGTCAATTCATGCCTTTTCTATTTTGTACTAGTGAAATTGTTTTTTGGAAACTAAGGTTAAAACTTTGTATTTATCCCTTCAAATTCATCTTATTAAATTCAGTTCAAGGTTCTAATTTGTTGAAATCTTTTTGGATTGTGACTGACTTTCAGGTTATTAGTTATTTCTTCCAGTTTTGTCATTTGCAAATTTGATACGCATGCCATTTACGCCTTCATTCAAGTCATTCATAAAAATGGTAAACATCACAGGGTCAAGCACAGATCCCTGAGACAGAACACTGGGAAATAAGTTGATACAGTACATCACATTCTCCTGGTTTTCCTACCTTTATTTATCAGGACTTCTTTTTCTTCTCTGTCTCCTTGACCTTAGTACACCCTCTTAAGCTTAGTATTTCCCGAAGTTCCTTCTTTGGCCCTCATCTTCTCTCTCCAAATTCTCTTCCTTCATATTCTTATTCACTCTCTTAACCTGTAGCTTCTATGTTGGTGGTCCCAAACTGTGTATCTCTTGCCCTTACCTGTATATCTAGCTTTAGATTCTTATTTCTCTCTATGCCACGTCTTGAATAGGCATCTCAGCATATCCAAAACAAAAAAAACTTTTTTAAATTAGCTCTTACCTCTAAACATGTAACTCCTCCTGACTTCATTTTTTTCTGTCAGTGACATAAAAATTTATGTGGTCTCCTATAGTTGAAAATGTAGAGCTTTCTTAATTCTTTTTCTCCCATTCACCTTCCCTCTTCAGTCCACTATCAAGTCTGGCTGGTGTTTTGATGCTTCAGTGAGTTCATGATGACTTTTCCCTTCATTGGTGCAGAGTAACCACCTCATCCTATGTGATTTGTATCCATGTTCATCCATAGATCATCTAAAGAGGAGTTGCTCACTGGAGGCCTTCCTCTAGTGTTTTTGTTTTTTTTTTGGGGGGGGGGGGGCTTCGATTTCATTGATACCAGTGTAGAACTTTTGATTCGACATCTGGTATCTCTTATCTGTTTCATTCTTTCTGTTCCTACTGATCCTACTCTAGACAGGCTTATAAACACATTTTTTTTATTCTTTTAATTTTTGTTTCATCTCTTTCAGGAATTCTAGTTGAACCTGTACCCAAGTCACACATCAGCTAAGTCTGGTGGTATGTGCAGTGTTACATGCCCATAGTCCTTCACCTCTGCAAAGAAGTTAGAGAAATGTGTTTTCTCATCTCTTCTTCAGGGTCAAGCTTGAGGGACCACACCTTTTCTAAATTTTCTGTCTCTTCCAGTGCCTAGTGTAGAATTCTGCCCACAAACATTTGTTGAATTGAAGACATAAGTTTATTGCTATGGATGAAAGGACACGAATGAACTGATGTTGGATTACCTGACTATTAATGCTATATTTTGTAGAGTATGCTTCAGTATTTGTTTCATGTCTTCCACTTGTTGACCTCTAGGATGTCATTTAATATGCTGAATTGTTTTTATTTATTTGAGACTGCCAAAAAACTTTTATCTTGCACTCCTACCCCATCCCTTTGCAAAAGTCAGGGACCAAAGGAGGAGGAACATTGCATATAATATCAGATTTTTTTCAATATGTTTATTGGGTTTCTGAATTTTTTTTTCCTTTTTAAATTTCTTTTGTTATAAGAGATAGCTCTCTAGGAAACAAGGTGAAGAGAGATCAGGGGAAATCTAGGTGACATAAAAACAAAAGACATAAAAATCTGTCTTATAGAGTAGTACAGTGGAAAGAATACCAGACTTGGAATCAGGAAAGACTTGGGTGCAAATCTTTCTTCTAGCGCTTATTAGCTGTGTGACCATGGGTTATTCATGTAATTTGAGCTTCTGTTTTTCTCCTCTGAAAATTAGACTAATAATAACTGCAATATCTAACACAAATTTGAGCAGTTCAAGTGAGAAATTGTACATCAGTGCTTCAAAAAACCTTCAAGTACCACACAAATGTCAGCTTTTGTTATCATTTTAGGTATTAAACTACTATTCTTAGTATTTTCTGGTTTATTGTCAAGTGCCCTGCATTCACCAAGCACTAATAGTGGTTAAGGATGATAAACTTTAATTCATTTATTGTTTGCCATTTTAGGAGAAGAGCCTTTAGTACGACTGAGTCTTACAGAAAGGCTGGGGAAGCGGAAGCTCTCAGGTAAGGACATTTTTGTGCAAACATTCCTTTGTTTGCATATGAACAAGCTGTGGTCTATTAGAAATACCTCAAGCAGTGTCCCCTCCCTAGAACTTCCTTCACAAAAATAAGCTATTGATGTTGTCTTACAGGTCCTCTGTACCCTTCTTAAGGACATTAGCACCAAATTTACTTCTCCAAATTCTTTTTGCCCTATGTTTGTTTCACCTTTTCAATAGTTATGTGAATTAAAGTTCAAGTTTTAGTTTGATTTTTAATAGTTCTTTAAAAGGCCCTGAGCTAAAAAGACCATGAGTACACCTCTTCCCTTTTCTTTGTAAAAAGAAAATTTTAAGCAATTTTTTAGAAGAGGGATAAAATTTAGACTTAGTAAATTTTTTATGTAAAGATTTCAGTTAGCTGAAAAGTATTAATCAGTAAAATCACTTTCTTAGCAGTGTGTTTCTAATTTAAAGAATAGAACTAAAATATTTCTCTCGTTTTTTCCTGTCTTTTTTGAAAGACCAATAACATACTTTCTATAGCTATCCTACTGTGAAGGTGATAGACTTCCTAAGTTTGGGAAAACTCCTGATTTCAGAGGTTCCCTTCACGCCATTTTAAATAGTGTTGGCATGGCAATTTAATAGTCCCTATGTGGGGAGGAGGAGGAGTATTTTTATAGACAAATCTTTAAAACTTTTACCATTTTAAATCACATATTTAGCTGCCGAGTTCCCAAAGGATAAGAAAAGATCATCGTAATTTTAGTGAAGTTTTTCAGTTCTTGCTATTTGAAATATAAAACTGTTTATAAAATGCTTTTGCAACCTAAATACTGCCTAGAGCTAGAGAAGGGAAATTGATATAAGCTCTTGGGTGTTCATAGCACCTACATTATCTTTTACTAGCTTTAAAATCTAAAGTATATCTTTAGGAAAGTTTGGTCTTTGACAATCTAGAAAAAAATTTAAATATTAAAAATTGCTATTTAAACAGCTTACACCAGGCAACATGGTAAACTGAAAAGAACTCCTGTCTAGGAATCAGAAGGCCTATGTTTTGGTTCTGACTTTCTCTTCCCAATTATTTAAACATTATCTCTCTAAGCCTCATCTTCTTTGGTTGTAAAAGGATAGGATTTATATTCACTCATCTCTAAAGTTCCTTCCAGTTCTTAAATTCTATAAGCTTCTTAGTTGTTTGTGGTGTTACTTTGGTTACTGGAATTCACCTGTTAGCCAGTTAGAATTTTTTGCACATTCTTAGTCTTGACTTTAGTTAGCTTGTTATAATTCCCACATTGAAAGTTATTCATATCTTGTTTTCTCCCTTGTCCCACCATCCATACTCTTTGAAAATTTCATTACCTTCTCTGAAGTAGAGTTGTTGAGTTCCAGGGAAACACTACTATTTATCATATAAACAGAAAAAAAGACACTAATCTCCATAGATTTATTTACTTTTTCCTATTTATGGTTTTTCTTTAAAAAAAAAACTTTCAACTAAATTCATATTTTTCCTTTGATCTAAAAGGTATTGACAGTGACCCTCCACTGAAACGAAGCCTTGCTCAAAGGCTTGGTAAGAAAATTGAGTCTCCAGAAATGAATACTGACAAAACACCAAAGAAAGGTACTCGTTTATAAATTTTTAAAATTACTACATATCTTTACATTTGCCACTAGCTTTGTTGACAGGGCTCTTGGTTCCTGAACTGTTCAGGCAAACTATATGATGGATTTTTTAGGGCCATGTCATTCCCTTTCCATGATTTTTAAAATAACAAAATAATTTCCCAAAGCCCATGAGTTTATTTGCTTTGCCAGTTGGGCAGAAATAGTTTTTCAAATTTATTTTCCAGAATACTCTAGAGGTATGTGATTGATGTAGAAATCATTTTGTCAGAACCAGGTTGTTGGGGTCAAGGAGAGATTTTGAGAGAAAAGAAGTAGATGTATAAATGGAAAAGCTGAAGCCCCAGGGAAATTAAAAGAGTACTGGCAGTAAGAGAAAAGTGTCGATTTCATTATGAAAATTGAAAAGGAACACATGAAATTCAATTAGATACCAAAGAGAATTCTTAGTTTAATAATTATGTATACTATTGCCAACAGATTTGTCTTTATCATGTCTTTTATTGTTTTATTCTTTTCATTTTTTAGTTCAAGTTTCTAAGTCTCTGAAGGAGAGATTAGGAATGCCAGCTGATCTAAACAGTATGGAGACAACAGGTAATGACTCCTAAAACTGATTCCCATATTTCCTACTTCCCATAACAACATATATGTTTTCTCTGAATTGGCCATTAAATCCAGGTTAGAGGTTAGACTTTGAAACAACAGTTGTCCTTATTCACTAATAAATAATTCAATTTTCCTTTCCCTTCCATTTTGTCTTTTCCCCCACCCTCCCATTTCCAGTCATTATTTTCACTGTTAGACCTTTTTCACTTACTATCTCTTTTATATAAAAGGGGAGAATATCATTTCTAGTACATAGGCATCTGATTTCTTTATGTTTTTGCCAAAAATGGCTGTTCTTTAGTATGAGCAGAAATTTATTTTTATTTCAAAAAGCATGGCTAATCTGTAGATTCTGTGATAGATGACTATTTACTACTATTTTGAATATAGAATTCATAATATCAAATGTCTTTTACTTGTGTACCACTTAGAAAACAGCTTTCAGGTGGCACAAAAGTACCTAATAAAGTCAAAAGTTATTTTTCTTGGTGTTAGCAGAACGATCTGCTAAAGGTGGAGAGATCCACGTGAAGACACTAGAAGAAATACGTCTTGAGAGAGCCAGCCAAAAACGAGGAGACTTGCAAACCAAAATCAAGAATGAAGGACCCCATAAGACTGAAGATTCCAACTTAGGGATGAGGAGCTCTTCTGCTATCCGAATTAAAACATTCTCTGAGGTTCTGGCTGAAAAGAAACACCAGCAGCAGGAAGAAGAGAGACAGAAAGCTGAGAAGGAAAACCCTTCTCTTAAGCTCAGAATAGAGAGTGAGTCCAAGAAACCAGTAATCTTGCCTCCCACTGCTGCCAGCAAAGGGCAATTGGAGGAGCCTGCAAGTAAAACAAAGCCCATGCAGGAAGTACACATAAAAACCTTGGAGGAGATCAAACAGGAAAAGGCATTAAGGGTACAACAGAGTGCTGAGAATAGCACCAACTTCCAGCTGCAGCCTGCGACTACTCCAGTCATGAGACGACTGCTCCGCATCACCAAAAGAACAGGTAGCAAAATCATTTTGTTTACAAATTAACCTTTGCTATACTACCAAGGAATTCATTAAGCTAAAGATTTAATTCAACACAAACTGGCCTGAATTTAAAGGTTAATGATTTGGAGTTTGATTTGAATACAGGTATAAAGGAAGAGAAGAAACTTACTGAAGCAGGTGAGACCACATCTCGACTTGGTGTTACCCGAACAGAGGCTGTTGAGGTGAGAACATTATCAATATGGTTTACAAATAGTTACTTTCCAAGTAAATGCCTTTTTCTTCTTATGTCATAACCACTCCCTATGGTATTTTGCTTGTTGGTGATTAGAGGTGAACATTTTTCTCCTTCCCTCTCCCGTTTTTTAAAAGGACACTTTTTCCTTCTGGGTAACCTAGGGTTTAGAGATATTTTTAAGCCCCTTTAATCTTTTCTAGGAGATATACCAGCTTTTGAGCATAAATATCATTTAGACCATGGAAGAAGACAAACATTATGCATTCCATGTTGGTCATTACAGAGTTCTTCTTGTTCTCCACACTTTTTTTTTCTTTTTTTTCTTTTTGGTGAGGCAATCGGGGTTAAGTGACTTGCGCTGGGTCACATAGCTAGTAACTGTCAAGTGTCTGAGGCCAGATTTGAACTCGGGTCCTCCTGACACCAAGGCCAGAGCTCTGTCGCCACACTTTTTGAAAGCAATACTATCAGTCCTTTGTTACCTTGCTGGTAGTTCTTTTGGCCATAGTCTTTTGTTTAAAAATGCTAGAGTTAAATTCTGTTGGGTCTTTTATAGGTATCTTCACAACCTTCAGATGAGACCACAGGAGATGGGATTTCCAAAGTTCAAGTCAAGAAATTTGAGGATATCATGAGAGAGAAGCGCAAACGGAAACAGCAAGAGGTGGAGACACTACAGAAGGAGAAAACCGTCTTGACACCCCTTCAGGAAGAGGCAGCACCTAGTAGCATCCAAGTGGCAGAGAAATCAGAACTGATTGCTGTGCCAGCAATCACCCGCCAGCTGACAAAGCGCGTGCGAATGAAAGCCCAGCAAGTAGAGGTAGAAACTTCAGAAACTAGGGATTCAATACTGAATGTGAAATGTGCAGCACAGCCCTTGGAAAAAAGGGGTAAAGGTAAGTGTTTTAGATAGTATGTCCTGAAGAGTGGGATTCTTTATACAGTGAATCACTGACTCAGTTGGAATAATAGTTAACAGGTTGCATTTAATTTGTCCTATGAACTTGGTGGAAAGAAGGAAAAATGTTTTGAACATTCAAGAAAAAAAGTGAAAAAAAAATGTTTTCCCCAGAATTACAACATGGTATCCCTAGACCCTTCATTAGTCTGTACTTTCAGGGTCAGCCACAAATCCATTGGGCACCATTAACCTATAGAGATCATAGGATTTAAAGGGGAAAAGCACTTTAGAGAACATATAATACAGACTCCTCATTTTATAGATGAGAAAATGGAGGGAAAAAAATTTCACCCAGGTAATACAAATAGTTCATAGCAGAGTGGGACACTCAGGTCCTCTGAAGCCAAGTTCAGGATGGTTTCTACTACACCAAGTCTTGGTGATAGCTGTGGAGATGATATTTACCTCCTTGCACTAAAATCTCAAATTCATAGGATGATAGACTTATAATTGGAAGGTACCTTAGAGGCCATATGGTCCAATTTTCTTGTAAACAAATGAGAAGACAGACTCAGAGAGGATATGTGACTTATCCAAAGTCTCACAAGAAAATAAGTATCAGAGCAGAGATTTAAAGCCACGTCCTCTAGTCCACCTCCAGAACTAGTACTGTTTTCTACTTGTGATTCAAACTGAGGCCAGGAGTATTGTTCTCTCCCCACTTAGCATCATCTCTACTGTTGTTCTTTCTTTGTTGTGACAGTTTTCATGAGGTTTGGATTTCAGAGTTTAGGTGTTTTTCTCCATCCCTCTTCATTTTCAGTTTAGACTTCTTGAACAAATCTTTAAACCCTACAAGTCATTAATGCTTAGGTGAACGTGATCTTCCAAGTCCTAATGTGATACATTTCATTCCTAGACAGTAGTCAATCATTTCAATATCCTCAGCCAAAGACTAAAATGTAGTCTTTTACATCTGTCCAAGTGGCCATTCTGTTCTAATGTCCTTTTTTAATCTTCAAAAGTCCTAACCTTTACAGAAAAAAAAATTCCCTTCTTTGCCATCAAATTTTTTAGTGTTCTACACAGGACTTCAGTATAATAATAGTTAGGATTTTTATACTATTTTAAGGTTTGTAAACATACATACACATATACGCTATCATCATCATTTTACAATTGAGGACACTGATCTTCTCTTGAGGACAGTCACTGATTAAGTGACTTCTCTAGGGTCACCCAGCTAATAAGTATCTGAGGCAGGACTCAAACCCAGGTCTTCCTAATTCCAAGTCCAGCACTCTATCCATTATGCCACCTTACTGCCTTTCTAGACTTCTAGCATCCATCCCCACATGTTGAGTATATGTTGTTTACATTTATGTAGTACTTTATAAAGCACTTTACATACAGTATTACTCTTGATCTTCACAACCCACGAAGGGAAGTAGTTTAAATTGCTGGTTATCCCCTTTTTATAGTCCAGGAAACTAAGATTCATACAAATTAAATAACTTGCCCAAAGTCCCATAGGGATAGAGCTGGTCTTTGAAACCTGGTCTTCTGACTCCGGTGTCCTTTCCACTAAGCCATTCTTTTTCCCTTGAATCATTAGAAGTGGGAAGTGATCAACAAGCTTAGTAATGGAAATACCAGGAGTTAGAGAGTAGCAGGTAGCAGTTGTCTATGAAGTTAAGTGATTGTTACTATGGAGTTGTGGCAATTTGTTTATCAGAACTCTATGCCAAAACAGTAAGAATAGGAACAACTGTATGCCAAATACGTCATTTAAGGGGGTAAGTAAGTATACATACATTATGTCAGTTGCGTGATTAGACATGGTTTATATCTCTATTTTTCAATACCATTACCCCTCGTGTCTTCTACTAAATTCCTGCCTGTAAATCTAAATACTAACACACTATCATCTTCACCCTGTAGCCAAGCCCAAGGTTAATGTCAAGCCATCTGTGGTTAAAGTCATTTCAACCCCTAAATTGGCCACCAAACGCAAGGCAGCTGAAGTCCACCCTGCTGTCATTGCAGCTGTAAAGCCACTCAGTTCGAGCAGTATTCTTCAGGAAAGCCCAAGCAAAAAAGCAGCTGTGGTAAGAAAATTATTTTGATCCATAGTGGGAGTTTTTTGTCTGTCAGAAAAGATGAAAGTCTACTTCCATTGTCTCTGTAATTTTCATAGCATATCCTACTATTTCTTAATACTTTGGGTGTTTACATTATAAATTCTTTGTCTTCATAAAAAAGATAACATTTAAAACAAACATTTGTTCCATGGCAAGAATAAGTTTGTGTTAGCAAATAGTAGTTATTTTCCTAGAGTTGGAAGGTTTTATCCCCTATCCTTAAGACCCATGCGTTGTGTAGGAGCTGGGTGTCAGAGGGCTGCTTATCTTCCTGGAAAAGGCAAGTAGACATTGACATGCAATGTACTTTTATAGGCTGCTGTTCCCGTTCTCTCTGAGGACAAACCAGTCACTGTGTCTGAGACAGAAAAAACCCCAAACAGGTAAAACCTCTATCCCTTTCAGTCAAACTTTGTCACTGTAAATACCTGTGATCCCATTACTTCTTATCTCTGGAGAACCTTGCCACCAAATGATTCTTCCAGACAATCCAAATTCAACCAAATAATTTATGAATGAGACAACTCAGTAAGCCCCAAAATATTGCAAGAAAATGTTGATGTTCAGTGTTACAGTATGTATTCACACATTACTTCATGGCATTCAGAAGATAGCACCTGATTGACTGTCCTAAATAAGATGGTGTTTGGCTCCATGTTAATGAACTATTATCAGACTCAGAAATATTCCCATGTTAATATGGCCTCCTAGGGACTGAGTGATTTCAGCCAACCAGTGAGAAAAGACAGCTTTGTAATCATGAATTCTCTTTCCTTCTCATAGTCTTGATCTGCCTCCAAGTCAAGCTTCTTCTGATCCCCTAGTACCGGAAGTATCTAGTCCTTCTTCATCCCAAGTGGCAACAAAAAGCCGCCGGCTCAGCTCTGCCTCTTCAGGGAAACCCCCCCTTTCTGTGGAGGATGATTTTGAGAAACTCATCTGGGAGATCTCAGGAGGCAAATTGGAAGCAGAAATTGACCTGGATCCTGGAAAGAATGAAGATGACCTTCTACTTGAGCTATCAGAAATGATTGATAGCTGAAAGTGGTGACAAGATCACTTTAAAAAAAACTCACAAAAAAAAAACTGGATTTTGTTTCTTTCATCTATTATAACATTTGCCTGAGGTGACTATTTCTCTAGGCCAGGATTTGCCCCAATCAGAAGCATACCTCAGAAGTATCTACGCTTGTTTGGGCCTCCTGTGGGTCAACTTAAAGAGAAGGCCTTTGGGCAGCCATCCTGTCTATTGTTGTTTAGATTTGAGATAAAGTTCCTTGTCTCACCCGCCCCCTTGTTCCCTCCTTCTCCCACTTAAAAAAAAAGAGAGAGAGAGAAAGTAGAGATGAGATTAGGTTTGGGGGGGCATAAAGGAGCTTAAAGCTTTAAGGTCTATGTTTGTTAATTCTGGCTTTTTTCTTTGGGTCTTCTTTGTTGTGCGTGTGAACGGATACATGAAAGGTTATTGGAGTTTGAAAAAGATGAAGACAGCTGCTACTACTCTTTAAGGACCAAATTTCATGCTGCCACTGAGCAAAATACACTCAGCTTTTGTTACGTTGTCTGTCCTTTTACAATGTATTTAAACTGTTAACATAGCTTTAGAGAGGGCTAAGCAGCTACAGGGAGCAAACCAGAATAACATGGACAATTCTTCTAGGTCCAAGTTTTGGTGCTTCTGCTACTCTGAAGGCTTCTAACTAGCAACAGCTTATTTATTACTACTGTAATTTTAAAAGTTTTTTTTTTTGCTTGAAAGTGCCTCGGTGGTCCCAAGAACTACTGTGTTGCTGGGATCCCCTGGTTTCTTCACAAGAAGTAATATGATTAGAAGAACCCTCTTCTCAGCATGAAAGTTTCTCCCCTCCTCCCCCAAGTATTCTTCCCTCTCCCATACTTTTCTACCACCACTGGCATTGAATCACCAGGAGTTGTGTGAAGGGTTATGTTTTTATGTTTTTTAAATCTCTACTGCTGCAGTTTCAGCAAATTCTCTTGCCCTGGGTTTCTCTACCCTTAACCACCTAGAAAGGAAGCCGAATCAGCTGCTGATTTTCATATGTGAACTATAGCAATACACTGAACCCCACTGTAACAGGGATGTTGAGATGCTTTGGAGGTGTATTGTGTACCTTCCATTTTTGTAGATGATTTTTTCCTACTATTTCTGAATTGATTTTTTTTTTGTTATTCTTGACGTCCTCTCCACATCCCCTCAAGGGTTTTAGACGTGTGCTAGAATAAGCCTATTCCAGGCTTGTGTTCTCAGAAGGAGATATATTGCATTGTAAATATTTGTGTTCATATGGTATTTTGAAGAAAGGAAAAAAAAAACTTGTCCATTTTTATAATTCATTGTAGGTGGTATCTTGGTTCCCACAGGGAAAATTGATCCACCTGTCATATTGGCTCCTAAGGAACTGCTGTTGTAGGCGGCTCATCAAAAGGAGAACTTCATGTAATCTCATGGGAAGGTGGAGAATGCCACAGGACTACCCATTTGGCCTTGTTGAGGTCTGAATGGTTATGCACAAACAAAAGTAACTTGAGAAATTTATATATTTAAAAAAGATGAACACAGTCCCCACCCCTCCCTCTGCAACTGAAAGTGTTTGTTGTATGAGGACCCTTCCCCAAGGCCAAGCATGGAATGTTCTGGCTCCATTACTGATTGCCTCCTCCCCCTTCCCTTTCCCCATTTCATTCTTGAGATCTGCACTGAGATCTCTAATCCCTTTTGTAAATAATCATTTTATTCTTTTCATTTTTTATGATTTTGTTTGTATCCTATTTAAAGCACTTGTATTATTAATCTGTGTCTGAATCATTCATGTTCAGCATCATTTGAACCATTAGTCATTACGGAGAAAGACATATTTGTGTTTTAAATAAAACTGGTGTAGGAAATTTTTGGCAGTGTGACTTGTATTTAGCCTCTTAATATCACATCAGTGCATCTGATATGGCAGATGACCCAATCAAATTATTGTTGGTCTTCTATAATTATAAATGCCTTGATTTTTTCACTTCCTGATTTGTTCTCTAAAATCTTTAATGATTACATGTAAGGAAATAACTAAATATCCACAGTATGGCTATAATTTATCTGCATTACTTAAAGGGACTCGATAATTATAATATGCATATCACCTGCTTTTCCATAATAATGTTAGAAATAGTCATTAGGATGAATGTAGATGTGCTGCACTTTTAGAAAGCATAACTTTAAAAGCAGCTAAATAAGAGATTATTTGTTGTACAAAATAGTTAACTGTATAGTTCCTTAATAATTAGTAGCTGGCATTTATATAGTTCTTTAAGGTGTGCAAAACACTTTACAAATATCTCATTTTATTCTCCTAACAACCCTGGGAGATAGTGCTATTATCCCCATTTTACTGATGAGGAAACTAAGGCAAACAGGTTGAATGACTTCCCCAAGATCTTATGTCTTGTAAGAATGATCATATTTTCAATGATTAGGCTGACACCTGGAACTTCTCAGGAAATCTGCCCCATCTCCATATATCAAAATCCTAGCCAATTTTAAAGGTATAGTTCAAATGTCACTTCAGGTCTTCCAATATATTTAGCCTAAAGCAACCTTTCATCTCTTCCGTGACTTTGTTTTCCCCTGTATTATAGCATTTCTTACATATTGCTTTATATTATAGTTATGTGTACATGTCTTCTCTAATATAGAGAAATGTCAGACCCCTTAGAGTTCATTTAGTTCAACTCCCTCATTTTAAAGTTAGCATAAGCTCCTTAAGAGCTTATATTAATCATCACTTTTTTTTAATATCCACACCTAACACAGTGACTTTACGTAGGTGTTTTGTCACCTATGTCATCTACATAGGTGTTTTGTCAATATTTGTTGAATGACTGAATATAAGATCTTTAAGATCCAACCAAGCTTTAAAATTCTGCAAGAGCACAAAACTAGTGAGGTAACATTTAAGTCCCTTCTGACGTACTGGTTATGTGATTCTGGCCAAGTCAACCTCTCAGTATACTCAGGCAGCTATGACTGTAAGTTGTCAAACAATTGCTGATCGATTTTTGGTAGAGGGGGTTTCTTTATGGGCGTTTCCCCTCCACCAATGAAATCACAGATCTGGACTCCTAAAAAGTACAAGTCATATATAGAGCCATAAGATAGGTCCGCATGTAGCAGGCAAGAGACGAAGTAGCATGTGAAGCACTCTAGTCTATACTCTTATTTCTCAAAAGCTTGATTCTCAACTCCTTTTGCACAATTGGAGCTTTTAATCATATCTAATTTTATTTAGCTATTTTACATATGTATGTCTTACCTTCATTGGAATGTAAGCTTTTGAAGGAGAGGTTATGTGTTAAATACTAAAAACCCCTCCATAATACCCTAGTACTTGTGTTATGAATGTACTGTAACAGGTGCTTAAAGAATTCAATAAAATTAAATTCAAGGCAAAGGAAAACTTATCCTCTGCAAGAGAACTTAGGCAGAACTTTTGATATAAACTTGTTGGTTTTTACTTCACTACTCTTAGCTTGACGATAGATAGATAGCATAGGTATACTATATATAAGATGTATGTAGACATACATGCATATGTGTATATGTGTATATATACATACATATATATGTATGTATACACTTTAAAGATAGTGTAATAAAATCAGGATTTACAAAACATTAAATGGAGGGGCAATTATTTGCTTTAAAGAAGTATACACCATAGGATTCTTTTAAATAACCAGTTCCCATTATGCATTAAAAATTATTTAACAATGATGCAGTCTGCTCAAGATAGTTATTATAACAGCATGGCAGTGACCAGTCAGGGTAGAAGAGTGCTCAGACGGGGATACCTCAAATCCAAGGCCTCTGAGGTCCTTAGCACTCTATCCTGAGATGCTGTAGAAGGCTCTGAAGATCCAGTGTTTTGAACCTACCAAAATCCAGCAGTGCCTAAAACCTACTAGTGCTCACACTCCAGGAGAGTGGAGGTCTGCACCAACACCCAGGTCAAAACCAATCAGTGCTGACTAGCCCAACCAAAGCACAACCAAATCACAACAGTGGGCAACCTGGCCCTGGCCCAGTTCAAGAACTAAGGCTGGAGATTGAATAAACAAAAGACATCAATCACTGTAAAGAAATTTTGTAGATCCAGAAACACCCAAAAATTCTACATTAGAGTAACTCCATGTCAACTATAAGAAGAGAAAAAATGGATTTTCCACATGGACTATATAAATACCTAGAAGAAATGAAGCAAGAGATTTTAAAAAATCAAAGTTTTAGAAAAAAGAATTTGAAGGAAAATAGCTTTTAACAGATAACGTTAAACCTTAATCCTCTAAACAGTAGAATAGACTAAACAGAAATCAATGACTCCACAAGACAGCAAGAAATAGTAGAACAAAATTAAAAGGCTGAAACAATAAAGTAAATTTAAGCTATCTGCTTCCAAAAAAAAACTGACCTAGAAAACAGAGGAGAGATGATTTTAGAATCATCAGACTTCCTTAAAATCATGTTAAAAAAAAAAAAGCTGGATACTTTCTAAAATCATAAATGAAAACTTTCCAGACCTATTAGAACCAAAGGACAAAATGAAAATAGAAAGAATCCACTTTATCACTTCCTGAAACTCCAAAAGAAAAAGTCCCAGTAATGTTATAGTCAAAATCCAGTGTTTGCACATTAAAGGAAAAAAAAATATTTCAAGCAGTCAGAAAGAAAGGAACCAGAGCAAGATCATAAAAGACAAGGCAATTTCTACTTTAAATATGAGATCTTGTAATGCAATAATCTAAATGGCAAAAGTTACAGTCTTACAACCTAGAATAACTTATTCTATAAAAGTGAATATATCGTACTGGGGGGGGGGGGATGGATCTTTAATGGAATAGAAGACTTTCAAACATTCCAAATGAAAATACCAAAGCTGAGTAGGAATTTCAAAACGCAAACATAAGAGTCAAGAGACAGCTAAAAGAATAAATTTATTTGGAATTGGAATGATGATGAAGGGATGGATTGTGTTCTGAGAAAAATAGTAGTCATTGAAATAGTTTCAAAAATTAACTGAAGGAATTGAAGGCAGTTTGGAAGGAAGCACAAACAAGTTTTGAAAGCTGCGTGTTGGGGCAGCTAGGTGGTACAGCAGATAGAGCACCAGTCCTGGAGTCAGGAGGACTTGAGTTCAAGTCTGGCCTCAGACACTTGCTAGCTGTGTGACCCTGGGCAAGTCACTTAATCTTGATGGCTGAAAAAAAGAAAGTAACAATTCACTAACTGTGCGACCTTGGGCAAGGCACTTAACCCTGATGGCCTCACAAAAAAAAAAAAGTAACATGGTTTTTTTTTGTTTTTTTTTTTAGCAAGAGGTATGGAACAGATATTCGGTTTCATGTATAGTCCTCTGCTATGTATATGGATGTGTTCATTTTGATTGGTGTTTATTAATTTCAGGACAAAATAATTAAATTTAAAACTAAACTAAAAATGCAGGTTACACAACTTTTCTGGAATACTTTTATTAAGCAAAGCAAAATACAACCAAGGAAATGTGTTTATGTATGAACACCCTCATGGACAATATTGTAAGGCCACTTAAACTATGACTGTTACAATTAATTCCATAGTGTCTCATGTGTGATTTCTATGACCCTTCTGTATAAAGATGTTTCTTTCTTTAAGAAGGCTACACATTATCTGGGTAATACAAATGAATTTATATTGCTTCCTGTGTGTATATGTATATACATATATATACAATATACTTATATATGCACATATATGTGTGTATATATGTATATATACAAATATAGATAGATAGATATGAATATACACAGCTATAATCATAATTGAGCTATAGCCATAATTCAAAATTTCCCTCGTTAGGCTCATTGTGTATTGGAAGTTTATTCCTACATCCCTGATAGACTCTTATAGGTTAATATCAGAAGACCGATTCTTACTTGAGAGACCAATCCAAGGTCATGCTGGCAATGCTTAATCAATTTAGTCATTAACTCCCTTAGACTGCCCACTAAACTCCCTTAACCGCCCATGTTAATCAGCTATTACTCTGTATACCTATGTAGTTTTAAATTTTTTATTTATTATTTTTAACATTCTCTTTTTTAAATTCCAAATTCTCTCCCTCTCTTCAGCCCCTCCCCCATGCATTGAGAAGGCAAGTAATATATCAGTTATGCATTTGAAATCATGCAAGAGATATTTCCATATTAACCATATTGCAAAAAAAAAAAAGCAAGAGAAATAAAGGGGGGAAATGCTTCAACTGTATTCAGGGTTCACCAGTTCTCTCTTTCTGGAGATGCACAGCATTTTTCATCGTGAGTCCTTTGGAATTGTCTTGGATCCTTATATTGAACAGAGTTGCCGAGTCTTTCACGGTTGGTCATCATTAAATATTGCTCTTACTGTGTTCTGCTCCTGGTTCTACTCACTTCACTTTGCATTAATACATATAGGTCTTCCTGGGTTTTTCTGCCCCTTGTAATTTCTTATATAACAATAGCATTCCATCTCAATCATATACCACAACTTGTTTTGCCATTCCCCAACTGATAGGCTTCCCTTCAATTTCCAATTCTTTGCTTGCACATATACCTCCTTTTCCTTTTTCTTGGCTCTCTTCAGGATATAGACCTAGTTGTGGTATTGCTGGATCCAAAGGTGCATAGTTTTACATCCCATTGGGCACAGTTCCAAAGCATGCTCCACAATGGTTGGACCAGTTCTCAACTCCATCAACAATGCGTTAGTGTCCCTACTTTTCCACATCCCCTCCAGCATCTGCCATTTTCCTTTTCTGACTTGTTAGCGAAAGTAAGAGGTGTAAGGCAGTACCTCAGTGTTGTTTTAATTTGTATTTTTCTAATCAATAGTGATGCATTTGGGTAACCCACAGGCAAAAGAGCCAACGCACCCAATTTTTAGAACCAGGCATGAGAAGAGTCGAGTCATTGCTCTCCTTCTCGCCACACGATAGGCCAGGCTGCCAGGCTAGAGCTGTGATAGGTTAGGCTAAAGAAGGGGGCAGGGCGAGGCCGGATGAGGGAACTTCCCGCTGCCTTTCTGGCGGGGGCGGGGCGGCGAGTTTGGGAGCAACGGGACCCTACCTTGTTTTCGCCTCCTTACCCGTAGGGAGCGCTGTTGGCACAGTGAGGCCGTTTAGGCGCTTTGGCTCCTCCCCTCTCCCCCACCCTTTCTCTTTCCGCTTCCTGAAATGTGGAAGGGAAGCGGAGCGAGAGCTTAGAGCAGCGGGTCCGCCAGGAAGAGGCGGAGGAGGAAGTCGTGGGTGCCGAGAGGGGCCTCCCGGCGTGCAGTGCGGCAGCGTTTCCGGTTCCGCTCGTGGTTTCCCTGAGGCGCGCGGTGCCCAGCGCTCTCATTGTGCGCTCTAGCCATGGCGTACCGCGGCCAGGGCCAGAAGGTGCAGAAGGTGATGGTGCAGCCCATCGTATCCTCTACTGGAGTTGGGGTCGGGGCAGCCGGAGGGTTGTGGCTGGAGAGCCAGGCGCGAGGGCGGGGAGCGCGAGGAGCCGGCCCACCCGGCCCGGGCTCCTCCAATGGGGCACCTCGGCCGGGTGCATGGGCTGAGAGCCGGGGGGGGGGGGGGGGGGGGGGGCAGGCCCGGGCGCGGGAAGGCGGCAGTGCCGGGGGAGGCTCGGGTGGGCGTGAATGGCGGGCGTTCGTCTTCCTTTGCTCGCGCCCACCCAGGCCGTCTGGTGCAGTCTCGGGCTCTGCGTCTAGCACACTTGCACAACAGATTCCGGGCAAAGCCTTGGGAGAGCACGGGGGCGGTGCATGCGCTTGCCGACTCCTCCTGAACCCTGACTCGGGGACCCTAACCCACCAGGGGTTTGCTGAAGCATTGCTGGTTCAGTAGGTTTTCCCTTAACGACTTCTGGACAGAACCTCATCTTCAGGTATCTCCAAAATGTAAGTGAAACACTTGGTCTCTTTCTTTCATTTGTCATTTAGCTCCTTGTTGCTTTTCCTAATGGGAAGGAGAAATAAGACTCTGGGTGGGTGTGCTTAGCTGTTGGTCAGCTCTTCAGAACTTTGTGATATTGCAAAAGTCACACACATAAAGCAAAGTGGGGGGAGGGCAAGGGCTACAAGTGTTTAATGCATCATTGTAGCAAGCATAAGCTCTACTGCCTCCGCTAGAAGAATGAATGAAGCCTCGTTGCTCCATTGTAAGCGCAGTGGATCATAGTAGCAGAGGGAGATGGGCAGAGAGGGATGGTGTTAACTTGGACAGTGAACCAGTACTGTGGTCATTGTGCCAATAGGGTGAGTATTCCACCCTCAGTTCAATCTTCAACTGCCCAGTGCAAAAGGTAGACATTTTTAAATAGAAGACTCACTCTTCTATTCAAATCATATTACAAATGTGTTCTGTCAAATGACATTGTTATTACGAACTTAACCTGTTAAGCATTAGCAAAACTAGTTTAGTTTATATGTAGAACAAAACTTTTTCACTTAATAAGCAGGACACACATTTGTAATAACCTAGTACTCTTTCACTCTGTGTCCCTTCCCATGGTCTTTGTATTTAATGCACAGGTTTTAACACTAAAAGGGGAATTTAAGAATACCTTGAAAGAGCAAGCTATGTCAGTTGACAAAATGGTTTTTTAATCACTGAGCAAAGAAAAAAAAAATAATAGAATGATGCATTGAATAGAGCACTGGACTTGGAATCAGGAAGACTCATCTTCATGGGTTCATGACTTCATGATCCTGGGCAAGTCACTTGATCCTGTTTGCCTCAGTTTCCCCATCCTTAAAATGAGCTGGAGAAGGAAATGGCAAGCCACTCTTTGCCAAGAAAACCCTAAAATGGGATCACAAAGATCAGACACAATGAAAATGACTGAACAACAATAAACAAGAATCATAATATTTTTGTGTCAGGTGACATATCTGGTCCTTCTAGTGTTGAATATGTAAAATAGGATTGCAGAAGAAACCAGGCATATTGAAATATATTTATCAAAATATTCAAACAGACCCCAGATTAAGAACCCCTGATTTAATGACTTCATTAGATTTAAGTTTCCTCATTTGGCATACAATAAACAGCAAAGCTTTGTATTCATTCAGAAAGTTTTAATAGCCCTTTGAGCTAACTGAACTAAGATCGACAGTCTGGGGTTCTGAGTCCTTTATTGCCTTTTTAAAAAAGAATAATCAAAATCACTTCATTTCTAGTTGCTTCAGAAAACTAGTATAATACAAAAAGTGTTGGGGAAAACTTGTTTGTTTCAGACTGTTGGTCTCTTTGCTCAGTAGGCCTGATGATGTCTTATGGTACCTGAGTTCTCCAAGATACCAGAGAACTCTGAGAGAAATGTTTATATGTTACAAGGCAAAACAATAATAGGTTCTTCCATACCTAAAACATTATAAACATTAGGAAAAATTCTGTGACTCAAAGACCCAAGATCATAGGAAATCATCAGCGTGTATAATCCCAATACTGTGTTTGTCAATGGAAACTTTCTTTGGAAATAAATTTAACCTCACATCTTTGTAACAACTAAATTTTTAAAATGTTTTCTGATATTTTACAAAATCACTTTTGGGAAGTTACGTTTCACTGAAGCACATTTGCATATATATGTATGTGTATACATACATGTAGGTGGTAGTGGTGGGTTTTGGTGTCTTTTTTTCTTTGTTTTTAAAAAATTTGCTTCTTTATTTCAGCGGTCTCGAATTCAGGTGTGGCTATATGAGCAAGTAAATATGCGAATAGAGGGCTGCATAATTGTAAGTATGTGAGATTTATGCTCTTTTTCAGCAGTGTATAATGAGAAAAGACTTGAGAAGACTCAGAAGTCAAACTATAGGAAAGTATCTTTGAGACAGGTGTGTTAAGTTCATGAGCTAAGAAAGAGCTAGAGTTTAAGAGCTGACTGTCTATATAACTCTATATTAGCTTTTTTTTTTTGGTGGGGAATGGGGAATAGAGAGACAAGAAAGAAAATATCATTATCCTTGCTATCCTTGAGCAGATACTTTTGACCTGAATAACCTCACTCCACTTTGCCAATATTTGATGAGGGTAGAGAAAGGCCTTAGGGTAACTGGTATATGCATATGCAATAGATTCCTTTAGAAGTGGGAAGATTGTGGATAAGTTAGGTGATAGGATGTGTTCCTGGTAGATCCTGAAGACTGGGAAACACTGGTTAGTGTTCTTAACCTGGGATCCATGAGCTTTAAGAAAAAAATAATAACTGTTCTAGTATAATTGGTTCTCCTTTGCAAGCCTATATATTTTAAATATTTAAAAACTTATGAGAAATTTTTAAATTAATTCTGAGAAGCATTCTATAGACTACCAGACTGCCAAAAGGGTCTGTTACACAAAAAAAGGTTAAGAGTCCTTGAGTTAAAGGAAAGAAGGTAAGTTAATTTATATGGAAGAGTAGTGGTTAGAATAGATTGCTTCTGAAGAGCAGTCATTGAAGTTTCTGAGTCTTCGCTATTTCATATTAAAAACCAATGGTGGTATGGGTTACTATATTAAGTCATAGAAATATATTACTCTTCAGTTGTGTATGCCTGGAATGATTTGAGTGTAATTCTGCCTAAAGAAGATCATTTTAAAAGTTTTATTTGAATAAAACTATTCAGATTTTAAAATGACAATTTATTATCTAGGGTTTCGATGAGTATATGAATCTTGTGTTGGACGATGCAGAGGAGATTCACTCTAAAACAAAGTCAAGGAAACAGCTTGGTAAGATCATATACAGCCTTATTGAATTTCAGTTAATTTGTCTATTCTACAGAATTTACCGTTTTTGTAAAGTCATTCCTTAGCCCATCTAATAATAATGACTATAAGTATTCATAATCTTATTTCAGCCAATGAGAAAGTATAGTTAAATCAGGGACTTATTATCCCCCTTTAATATTGTCCAGCCCTCCTCACCCCGCAGGAGCTCCATGTCTATTTCATCTCTTATTAAATGGTCCTTTGCTAAAAATGAGTCTTTGAATTTCATGTTTTAAGTTTTCCTCTCCTTAAAGTTTCTCTCAACACATATCAGTTGTGTAAGACTTGGTTTTGAGAAGCAGTAGGATGATTTAACTATGCTTCTCACTGCTTAGATTGTTTTCCTTGAAGCCTTGATTTTATTTAAGTTAAAACTAAATTTTGTATATTATAAATGTAAAATTTGCAAGCAGTTAGGAGTGGACTGTCCAGTTAGCATCTGTTTCATTTGTTCTTGTAAAGGAGTATATACTCACATATTTGAAATTACCTCTTAAAAATGCATTAATTAATGTGAATGCTGTCATGTTTCTAAATGCTTGTGTACTGTGAGAAAGAAATAAGAAACTAGTAAGAGAAGTGATGGTCTCAGACCACAAAATGAAGCATAGTTTTTGCACGTTACCATTGTGGAAATTTGTTTTACTTAACTATGCATGTATGTTACAAGGGTTTTTTCTTTCTTGTGAGAGGAAGAGAAAATAGATTTTTATTTAAAAATTTTTTCTCAGGCCCTCTTATGCTAAGATTTTAAATTCTGATTAAGTATTAGGAAGTTTTGTGGTAGAGGTTCATGACTTATAATGGTTTTTTATCTGTGTTGCAGGGCGGATCATGCTCAAAGGAGACAACATTACCCTACTACAGAGTGTCTCTAACTAGAAGTATATGGTCAGTGAAGTTAGAAGACACTCCGAAGGCAATACTTTTTTTTCTTAGTTACATTCTCTGGGCTTCAAAAGCCAGCTACACGTTTTTTCTATGTTATTTTGATCTTTCTTTTATGATATTATAACAATAAATGGGTTGCTCTGGGGTTTGTTTCTATTAAAAAATTCTGCATTGAATTTCTTTCTGTCTACGAAAGAACTTTTCACACAGTGGTGCCATTGTCCCTTGCAAGAGCCTGGAGGCTCCAGCTGTTGGTGTTGGCCTTAGAGCTTTCTGAAAAAAGGCAGATGCCCCAGGTATTACTTTTTGAGGGGTGCAAAAAAGGGTAAAAATTTTGTGAGAGTGGTGAGATTCATATGTGTTGTGAAGGTAGTGTCCTTAATTAACATAAGACAGTGTATTGCAAACATACAATGGGGACATTGAAGCCAATACAGTGAAAGTAGACTCTTGACAATCAAGTACTACCATGGCATTGTTACTAACTTGGAAATTATTTCCCTAAATCCAAAAACTTTGTGAAGAAGAGATGGAGGTTGCATTAGGCTTGACCTATAGGTGTCTGTATAAGGTGTTCAGAGATAAATTTCATTTTCTGGTCATTAATATTAATGCAGTTTTATCACCAGGTTTGTTATCCATTGGGGTAATTGAGGGAAAGAAAAGGGGACCCAAAGCATGTTGGGGCGGGGAGGTTATGTTGGAGGCAAGAGTTGGGAACTTTTCCATCATGCTACACATAGATGGGGGTAGACGTGAGACAGAAATCCAGTGTCTGAGCAAGACCTCTTAACTCTTAGGGACTTTTGTTTCCATCCTCAACTGCTGTTCATGTCCTAATTCAAACCAAAACTGAGGCACTCTTATTTTTCTGTACTCCAGTATAACCCTGGTTTGTAGCAGGATGGAGGAAAACTAAGTCCAGCCTTACTTCTCTACCTGCCTGGAGGGTGAAAACAGAACCTTGTAGACACATGAAATGTAGCCTATGAAGTCACTCTGGCTCCAACAGGTGTCTTCATGGAGGTAGACGATGAGTCTTGCCCTCAACTTGCTGTGTTGGTCTATGTCTCCTCTTACCTCCTGCACAGCTGCCCTTCTGATCTAGTCAGAAGTAAAGGTTTTCTTTATTCCCATAACTTCTATATTCAAGTTTGAGATTAACTGAACCAGTTGGTGTGCAAAGGAGACATTGTCCAGCAGAGGGCACTGCTGCCCTAGACTGAGCTCCAGCTCCTAGTAGGGAAATGAACTGAATGAACTTCTTTCTGATGAGAACACAGACCTCCCCGCTGCTTTTTTGGCACCAAAAATAGCTGGGAAGAATGATAACAAGCTAAAGCAATATAATCCCTAAGAAAACCTGCTGGCTGCACTCTCTACTTCCCCCTATGTCCTCACTGACCTAGCTGCCCTCTGTAAGCAGAGCTGGGCCTGCTGTGGCTTATTCTGAATAGATCAAGGAACAGGAGGTTCTATTTTTGACAGCGCAAATGATGATGGTGAGGAATAAGGTACAGTGAATGCTTACAATTGGGCTCTGTATTTAGAAAGCGCCTTGCTTGCTTTTCTGCTCCACTGGAGCTGGTTGTGTTTGCTTTCTAAGTTGTACTTTTCCACAAACGTGTAGATTTTCTTTTCTCTCAAGCAGAAGATGCAGTGGGAGGGGGTGTTACCTTTGGCTGTGTTAAGAGTACTAAAACTTGTTGCTGGGAAAGCAGGTTTCAACCAGGAACCTCTAGTACAAGGACAGTTATTTTACACTTGCTTTCTAAATGCTTTCCTCTTAATCACGCACCTCCTATACTTGTAGTGCTCCCAGAGAAAAAGACCCTAAAGGAAAAGTGAGCATAGCTATAGTCTGTTTTTTGATAGTGGTTGAGCAGAAGGAAGAAGGTGGATTTTGAATGCTTTGGAGATTTTTGCGTTGGTAGGGGCACCAGTTCTTGGCTTTATGTTGTTAGTGTGGATATTTTAGGATTAGGGGAAGAGAAACTTGTACAACTTAGATTGAAGCATTGTGAGGCAAAGGGAGCCTTGGGCAATCTCAGATATAATAGGCAGTTTTGTGGCTGACAGGGTTAATGAATGGCACAAAAACAGAACGGCGGCGGCTTTTCCATGAATCCTTCCTAACGGAATTATAATTGGCTTCATCTTACTATTAACCCCAGCACAACTCGCTTGTATTCCTTCCTCCGTGAATTTTCGGGCCCTACAAATTGAGCCTCACAAGAGGCCTGAACTGTGATTTGGTGTTCTCAGAGTCTATCCATAGCTCTGTCACCAGTTTGCCACCTTTGGGCAAGCTAGCTCACCTCTTTGTGCTTCAGTTTTCTCACTTATATGAAGGTAATAACTGTTCTACCTACCTCATAGGATTGTTGTTGAAATGTGTTTAACTTTTGGGAAAAAATTAAAGTTTTTTGTGATGTGGTATGATAGTATAATTTGGGGCTGAGATTTTTCTTTTTACTATATGAAAGATGTTTGCTAGGCATATAATTAAATGGAACCATTTCAAAGTGAATATTTGGCTTACTCTGGAAGACAAATGTCTTTCAGACACTTAGAAAGCTCCTTTATTTAACAGCATCTTTTTAATATGTGTCACTTACAAATTCTTGACAATTAAAGACCACGCTAGCAAATCCTCTGTATGACAGCATTTCTGTGTCCTCATGCATTTGCACAATGCCCCTTGCAGGTAGGGTAGAGAAATGGAAACCTAAAAAGATCCCACAGAACGTCAAAGTGAGAACTGGGACCAAGACATTGAATGCCTGACTTTCTGCTGCATTGAACTGACTTCTTTGCACAGGAGCACTTAGATGGGAGTTTATTTTTGTTGTCACTATTTGCTCAGTGTTCAGTCATTGAACATTTATTGAATGATTGCTAGGTGCAGCCTTCACAAAGTCCTACTCTGGTGCCCTATGACAGAGGTTATCCTGGGTTTTAAAAAACAATGTCATTAAAGCACAAGCTCTGGCAGGTCCTGCCGTCTTGGAAAGGCTTTAGATACTATTTAAGAAAAAACTGTCTGCTTTCCTAGGACAAACTTAGCTAAATAAAGAAAAGTTTGTTGTTAAGAGACTGGCCACTCACTGAATTGTTTTGGACAAAGAAGAATACAAAATGGCTCTGGGTCTTGTGCAGTCCTCTTCACCTGCAGTGATGATAATGGTGGAAAAGAGGGCTGAGGGGGCTAAGGATCACACACTATTTAGACCATCTATAAATTTTAATTTAGCTTTTGGTTCTTTAAATGCAAGATCCTTGTTCAGTGACCCATGAAAGTATGTATATGCTACTGGAAACTGAATTATGTTAATCTTAACAGTTCTCAACACAAATGAAACAAGACAAAAGAAAGTTGTAGTAAAGGAAAGAATGGCTCACAGGATCTCTTTGGAGAAGCAAATAAAGAGGCTGGCAGAGCTGGTGTTATTTTTGTGCCCAAGGATAACAAAAAACACTTTCATGGAACATTTAGTCAGGAATGAAGTTGGGAATAGGAAAGGATGGCAGAGATATTAGGAGTAAGAAATGAGAGTTCAAATGCTTGTAGGGCACCCAGAAGCCTCATATCTGTGTAACCTAAATCCTTTCCTTGGGTGTGTCAGCTCACAGTCTGATTGTTAAATTTTCAGTGTGACCATTTACACTTTGGAAATTGGCAAACGCCAGAAATCAGGGCATGATTTACTGTTTTGATGACTATTTAGACCTAAGAAGATGATGAAGAAAATGTTAATACAGATTCAACTTAAAATTGTGTATACATTTAACTATTTACTAGCACACACTACTGATCATTTTGTTAAGAAGAGAGTGGGGAAGCTTTGGACACAGTGAGCAATGTAACATTACAAAAAATGAAAGTAATTAATAGAAGATGACTTGTTACCCATGTGGGAATCATTTCTGAATCTGCTGTCTGTAGAACATGGCCACTAACTTGTTAGAGGTAAAACTAGGCTAAAGAGCAAAACTGAAAAGATACAATATGCAATTTAGACAACTCCAGCCTGATCAATTTAAACAATCTGTTGGGAAATGAATAAAAGAACAGATACTGTCATAGACTACCACCACTTCCTAAGGAAGTTTAACTGATGTAAATCACTTGCCACAGTGAGACCAAAACAGCATAGAAACTACTCAGCCAGTGTACACTTTGTCTCTTTGCCAAGAGGAAAAATGTAGCCAAGGTCAACATTGGCTTATATAAAGTCATTTTAGAGATCTCAGGGGAGGATTATAGAAAATGGAGCAGTAGCACCCTATAAAACAGCAAAAAAGCGGAGGGGGAAAAATAAGTTTATAGAAAGCTTGGCAAGACGCTAGAAGGAGAACAACAAATGTAGAAGACCTATAGGTTTTTATAATAAGTTCTTTATCCTGTAATGACAGTAGAGCCACCTCATATAGTCTCAGTCTCACAGGCACGAGGACGTGCGGCCCGAGGAAGTAGACATAGTACTGAATGGAACGAAAACGTTTGGGCAGCTGAACTAGACCAAGTATATATAAGAAGATTCTATGGGAAGTGACAATTATTAAAGAATCAATTCTGAAGGTATATAAAAAGAGGGAAGACTTACCAAGGTCTTGGAAGAAATTCCAAATGTTATTGTTACACACACACTGTGCGCCCCTCCCCCAAGGGAAAAAACTAATAACTGCAACATTTTTTTGAGCATATAGATGCATTGAAGGAATCCTAGATAAAGGCATGAGGAGGGACCTGACATTAACAAACTTAAATTCTATAGTGGACATCTTCATAGCCCCTTAATTGATTGAAAGATCCTACTGTACTTATTTTGTTGACTCTTTTTAAAAAAGCAATCTTTAAGTTGAGAAAAGTCACCATAAAGACCCTTCTTCAACAAAACATCTTCCATATATATGTGAGAATAAAGATTCCCTGAAAGTAGGTATATATTGATATCTGTCTTCTCAAGTAAGGCATAAAATGGACATACTTGCCACAGGTTTTTGCCATTCCTATAGAGGATATCTACTGCAGAGTCAAAATAGAAGATGAGTTTGATAGTAAGATCTTCCCTTCGTTCCATGCACTGATTATAAGTACTGGAACATTGCTGAACTTCTTGAAATCCGTGAATCAATTTGCCCTAATTATCCAAACTGAAAAAGTCAAATGAATGAAA